CTGGCCCCCCGACCGATCTGCCCCTCCACTTGGCCCGCCAGCTGTCGGTGGGCCTGTCGTCGCTGTACGACCTGATCCAGCTGGGGGCGCTGCTGAAGTTTAAAGTCTCGCTGAAGAACTCGCTGTCCTCGCTGCTGGCGCAACCGGTGGCGCCGCCGTCGCTGGCCAACGCCGGCGCTGCCCTCCGCGCCGCTGCCGTCGCCAACACCTCCCAGCAGGCCGACCGCCTGCCCGACAAGCTCGACGCCCAGACCACGGGGATGCTGTTGCGCAAGCTGAAGCAGATCGGGCTGATGCCGATGATGCAACAGTACACCGGTCCCCAACGGCCGCCGATGATGGCGATGAACACGATGCCGATGTACGACCCTTACCAACACCAGCCGGGGCTCTACGCCAGCCCGATGATGCTGTACCTGACTGAGTACTTTGGCAGCGCCTACGACCAGCCGGGTCTGCGCCGGGCGCTGATGACGGTGGCGGACTCGGCGCGGATGCGGATGCTGAGATCGCTGATGGCGCCGATGCCCCTCCTGGCGGCGCCCACCGGCGGGTTCATGGGCGGCGCCCGCCAGCTGCGGATGGCGCCACAACTCACCGGTGGCTACGGCGCCATGATCCCCCGCATCCACGACGGCACCATCAACCGCAAGATCGAGGAGTTCTGCGAGTTGCGCCACTATATCGCCTGCGGCAACAAGCTGCTTGAATTCAGATTGCGCTGGGTGAAGATGTTGGTGAAGGCGATCAACTACAACCTTTACTCGTTTATCAACATCAAAGGGGAGCCGATCCTGCCCGACATGGTGTACCACAACCGGGCGCTTTTTGTCAAATCGGCGGTGACCCACTTATACAAGTTGATGAAGGAAGACCAAGGTAAAGCGCGCTTCGACGTCATCCGCGCCGACGTGTGCTACATCCACGGGTGCTTGCTCAAGCAGGACTACTTGACGTTGTACAACGAGGACTACGGCATCGACAAGAACATCGAGGGCGCCGTCGAGATGTTTGAAAAGGCGCTCGACACCACGCCGCTGGACTACCGCCTGCTCTACAAGTTGGGTGAGATCTTCGAGTACGAGTACCCCGACGAGTTCGACAAGGCATTGCATTACTACAAGGAGGCGGCGCTGTTGCTGTACAACCGGGCCATCCTCAAGGTGGCGATGTTGTACCTCAACGTGCCCCAGATTCGCCTGCGCCGCTTCATCCGCTACTTGCTGGACCTCGCCAACATCGACATTGACGACGTCAAAGTGAAGAACGACGAGGACAAGGACGAGGTCGAGGACGTGATTGGCTTGGCCTGCTACGAGCTCGGCAAGATCTACGAAGGGATCTACCCCGGCGACCTCACCTTCGAAGACCCGTTCATCCAGCAGTGCTTGGAGGTAGCCCCCGTCAACTACGCCAAGGCGTTGGCCTACTACAACAAGCTGGCGCGCCTCAACTGCTTGTACGGGTTGGTGAAGCTCGGCAACATCTACGAGTTTGGCGAGCTCAACCGCCCGCGCAACCCGCTGAAGCTGATTGCGTGGTACATGAAGGCGACGCTGCTGCCGTTGGCGTTCAAGCGCCACCCCGACGCCATGATCGGGTTGCTGCGGTGGTGCCTCAACGGGCTGGGCGGCTCCAACCGCCACATCCCCTTCCCCAACCCCCAGATGGCCACCATGTGGTGCGACCGCGCCATCAAAGAATTCGACTCCGCCGACGCCATGTACTGGATGGGCGAGTTGATCGAGATGGGGGTGGCCCAGGGCAACCCCAACGAGTGGTACCTGAAGGCGTACAACTTGGGCCACGAGGACGCCGCCCGCAAGTTGGGATTACAGCCCGAGTACAACGGCGAGGGCCAGTACGAGCCCGAGGACGACGAGGTCGAGTTTAGCGAGTAATTTCCGAAATTACCGCCCCGATGATTTTATCAATTGCATTCCCAACCCTTAAACTAATACTATGTGAATCGGCACTTATTTCTTTATACAACTAAAAATGAATGCTAGCAATACCCTCACTCTCTGTTAGAACACCCGTGCTGCAACGGCTTTAGTTTCGGTTGCAAAATTCTTTCAAAAAAAAAAACCGCGGAGGTAAAACGGAGGCCGCGATGCCGACAGGTGGTGGCCGCCCCTTTGGCGGGTGGTGTCGACTCACAAAAAAACACAGCCCCCCTCGCCAGGCGCCAGGGCTGCGCAACCAGAAACATCGGAAATTGATGGATTGCGTCTTGAGTTATGCGTTGGTTGCGACCCCCCATTTTCTCAAGGAACCAAACCCAACCTTAACAACAATAAACAAAACCGGTAATCGCAGCCAAGCAAGCGACATGCACCGCCCCCCCAGCCTATTGTTCGCCCCGGCGAGCCAGCGAGCAAATGTATTCTTCAGTGGGTTGCCTCGTTTAGCGTTCACATTTTCCGTTCCACCGGGTCTCGTTTGTGGTGACACGTAGCCCTCGACTGTGCTGTGCCGCCTAATGTCAGATGTTGACGATGAATATCGCCAACAAAATCTTCGCTGCATCGCTCGCAACCGGGTGGGCTGCCGCTTTGGGATAAGTGTACACAGTGAGCACTCGCCACTACCAGCCTTGGCCCCATGCACGCTATTCGCTCTGTTGGGACACTCGCTGCAACCAGGGCGACCCCCACAACGCACAGTTATGGCACTGAGCCCTGGAGCGGGGGATTGTTGACCATGGGCAAGCGGGACCCAATCGAGGCGAACCTAGTCGGGAAAAACGGCTCGGGAATGGCGACTTGAGGCGTGTTTGGTGTCCGTCGTATCCGAACATCCTCGCCCTGGCCTCGCAAGCGTGTTTTGGGCGCCCCGAGGCCTAAGCGGACGGCGGTAGCGAGGCCCCGGCGTTTTGTGCTTAGGCAGAGTGGAGTATTTCGCCATACTCGCCTCGGGACAACAGACCAGTGGACAATGGACGCCGACACTCATCGTGTTTACAAACCGTACCAGCACCTGAGTTCCGCATTAGGCCGCGAGGCTTCAGCTTCGGTATCTACACCGCAGGCGGGGACCTACAGTCGATGACTGTTTACGTAGCGACGCTTTGTGGGTGCCTGAGGTACAGCAGCAGTAATCGATCGACATCCTTGTTGACACATCGGTGTTGTTGTGATGTAGCTGTTGCGTGCGAAGTACTAGACAGTGTGGTGGCTCTAGTAGCGGTGATGGCCATCAGTTTTCCAATCTTGTCATGGTTAATGGCGGGATGAATTTGTGGCGAGCACAAACGTCGTTGGGTTAACTTTACTTTGTTAGATCTATGACTGTGCTCACTAGTATCACTCATAGTCATGGTGAACCCTGGGAATTGCTTTTTGCCGGTGTCAGTGGCGGTTGTCTGTGCTAACCGTTACCCGTCCCCACTCCGTGAGTATAAATATATATAATCCGTGACGCCGCGCCGCTCTCGCACCGACAGAACAATAACTAAGGGCATGAGACAGAATCACGCCAACACCCGTATCTCCACCATGGCAGCCAAATTACCTATATATTTACCTCTTATCATGATCTACTGATTTTCCCGAGTCTCTAGAGATAACACTCTAGAAAGTTTCCTCGAATTTCCCGCTGATCCGCTCGTCATTGATCCGGGTAACCCCGCTTATCACGCGCGTTATCAAGTATGACTACGATAACAGTCCCCGCCAATAAAACAACATAACCCCAGACGATCCCCCTTCTCCCGCCACCAACTTTCCCATAACCCACTCGATGTCCCTGCTAGAGGCCCGCCGCAAACTGATTGCGAGGCTCACGCTGCCCCCGGTGGTCCACCGAGGCCTGCCCCAACCCCTGCTAGTGCTTAACAACCTGCCCTTTTACGATGACGACGACCTGCAATGCGATAGTAGCACCACGGTGTCGAAGTCGCTGCCCCCCGCCGAAACTGACTTCTCGACCAATCTCCACGACCCGCTACTACTGCAAATACCGTCGAAATACCTCAGCCCCGAGGGCCTCAAGCTCGAGGGTGGCGACATCACCCACGACCTATACAAACTCAAACAGCCGCGGGCGCTCCGCCGATCGTTTCTGTCTCTGCTGGTGATCGAACAACAACGCAAGGGATCTCGGGCTGGCCTGTTCAACGTCCCCGGTGGTTTCCGTCGCCAGTATCTTTTGCAAAAGCACCATGCCAACAAGACGCCAAACTTCGTCACCCGCAACTTTGTCGAGTTTCTCTCGATCTACGGCCACTTCGCCGGCGAAGACTTGGAGGACGATGATGCTATCATCTGTCACTACCGGGCAGGTCACATCCCCGATGAAGAACAGGCGTTGTTAGGTGACCACAACGGTCGGGTGCGTGGTACTGCCTCTGATCGCAAGGTGTTCTTTCTTCTTCTCAAAGCATTTGTTGGTACTGGGGTGTTATTTCTTCCCAAAGCATTCTCTAACGGGGGCATGATGTTTTCCATTGTGACGTTGGCATTCTTTGGTGCCCTTTCCTACTGGTGCTATTTGATTCTTATTTTCACCAAGGAGAAAGTGGCCGTGCTGCTGTTTGCTGAGATTGGCCAGAAATTATACGGGCGCTCATTCCAGCGCCTTATCCTCCTCAGTATCGTGGTTTCTCAGCTCGGGTTCGTGGCTGCGTACATTGTTTTCACCGCCGAAAATATGAAAGCATTTTTAGCTAATACCTTGGGAATTAACGTTCTGAAACCCATGATAATAGCGGCTCAGGCAGTGCTTCTTACACCTTTATCGCTAATTCGTGACATCACAAAGTTGCTGTTGCTGGCGGTGATTGCCAATCTTTGCGTGATGTGGGGGTTAGTGACGATTGTTTATTACGTTTTACATCAGTTGATTGTGGTTCAGGATTTCCACCCTGGACCCGGTGTTGAATGGTGGTTCAATGAGGAAAAGTTCTCGCTCTTTATCGGTGTGGCTATCTTTGCCTTTGAAGGGATCGGTCTCATCATCCCCATCCAGGAGCTGATGATCCACCCTCATCACTTCCCGAAGGTGTTGGCCCAAGTGATATTCACCATTCTGGCAATCATGATTTTCATGGGTACGATCGGGTACGTCACTTACGGTAAGAATATCCACACTGTCATTCTCCTCAACTTACCCCAGTCATCGCCAGTGGTGTCGACGATTCAATTATTTTATCTGATCGCCATCCTTTTGCTGACGCCTCTCCAATTATTCCCCGCTATCCGATTGATTGAGCTGAAGTTGATCACGGGGCTGGGCAAAGCCCTGCTTGCGGCCAAATGGAAGAAGAATATTTTCCGCACAGTGTCGGTGTTGGTCGTTCTGTTGGTGGCAGTCTTTGGCGGACAGAATCTCGATAAATTCGTTCTGTTTGTCGGATGTTTCGCTTGCATTCCGTTAGTGTACATGTACCCAGCATTGCTCCATTACAAGAGTTGTTGCGACGTCAATGAACCAGGAATCACTGACGAGCAACGCAAAAAGCGCTGGTGGTTGGGCGTGTTTGACTGGTTCCTCTTGGTCATTGGCCTGGTCGCCTTAGTGTACACGACGTACGATATTTTAAAATAGCATAGATATACCATACACTTATACCATTACAAATACAGAAATCCAAAATAGTTTCAAATTTATTAAATCTATCGTCATGCTTTCATGCTATACTTCTTACTTGTCGTCCGAAAACAACAGGGCCAATTTCAAGCGAGCGTCATGAATCGACATTTGCAAAGCCCCGTTGGCGTAACGAATCCCCCGCTTGAATTCTTCCTCAAACCCCTTGACGTCTTCGTTGACAAATCTCTCCCGCTCCTGGTGGAATTGAGGGGCCACCTGGGCCTCAAACTGATCGAGCTTCTTATCCAAGTTGCGGAAGGTATTGGGCATAAAGTACGCAGTGGCAGCACCACCAGTAATGACAGGAACAATGAACCGGGTGGGTAACAGCCGGCGGTTGACCAAGATCGACCCGGTGAGAGCGGCGGTCAAGATGTAGATGAGGTTGGGCAACACGGGGTCCGCGACGGTCTGCGCCACCTCACGCTTGACGTTGTTCCACTCGTTGTTGAACAGAGACTTTTGCGTTTCCCATTCGGCGCCGTAGATGGCGTACTTATCGTGGAGCCATTTCCGAAGTTCCTTGGTGTAGGTCTCAATCACTGGTGACGTCCGCACAACCATGCCCTGGACGAACGAGTGGTTGCCGTGTAATTTTTCCTCCTCTTCCAACTTGGACGGCATAGGAGTGTTGACCCCAGGGGTCGTCAACACCTTGTCGTCGTCTTCATAAAAGGACCGGGCCATGGTGATTGGTTAGCGCGAGTCGATTCGCGCGAAGTTGACTTGGACGATGAAGGGATGGTCCACCAACTTTGGCGCAAAAAATTGATGACAATTTGATAGAAAGACTTGTGAATTTTAATGACTCCAATTTCTACAGCAGTATTTGAATATCATTTATAGCTCGTATCGAGCGGATAGGATTCTCTATGAAATATCACGTTAACGCAAACTAATATACAGATATATAGGATTTCTCATCATGCCTCCTTCAAAACACCGTCGGCACCTCTCTTCTTTGTTGTGTCGTACAACCGAACAACCTTTTCCATGTCTTGATCAGTTTGGGAAAAGGCGAATCCACGCTGCTTCTTGATACGCTGCACTTGCCTCACCTTCCGAATGGCCTTTTGGAATTGTTCCATTCTAGGACGATGATCCTGGATATTGTACTTTTGGATCTCTTGGACATAGTGATAGGATTCAGGAGCGATTCTGCGCTTCAAGTACTTCCACGAAAAGTCTCGAAGTAAGCACAACAGGGCAATCCCGAACACCATAGCCCAGAACGTCACAGTGGGGTAAGTCACTTTAAGTACACCCTGGTATTCCATTGACACTTTAGTAAGAGGAGCAATGGAAGCGTACGCAGGATACCATCCCAACCACAACGCAAACGACCCCGGTATCGCGATCAATGTGAACTTGGTCCACATGTTCACCACCAAAGCTGCCTTGCCTAGAGCAGTGAGCAATGACGTGGTATAAATCGCCACACCCCACAGCCAGTTGTTCAGCAACATCCCCAGAGCAACACCATTCATGTTTTTGTAGATCAACATCAGGGTAAAGAAGATAACACCCAGGTGGAAAAACCCATTAGCAATCCATCCCCAAAAAATCGTGACGTTGAAGAAACGACGCAGTTGACCAAGCTTGTAAAGTTGGGGATATTTGTCCAACAACCTAGCCAGGATAAATTGATCAAAAACACCAAGCACGAACGGCGGTAAAACTGAGAATAAAACGTTATAGAGGGTCAAAGTCCAAGACTCAGCAATCAGCTGCCCGGAAAAGGCATTAATGAACACAAACCAAAATTGTGTCATGTACAACGCAATATTCTTATAGAAAGAATACAAGATAGCCACCAGGATACGCTGGTACGACCATGCTCCATGTACCAACAACAACTTGCGCAAGAATCTGAATTGCCCAATAGACACATCGGCGGACCGAGCGGCTTGCATACCTTCCATACCTGAAATACCCACACCAACGTGAGCCGCTTGGATCATCAGAACATCATTAGCGCCATCGCCGATAGCTAATAAAAGCAGGCCCTTCCGCTTCCGTTTCACCATCTTGACCACAAGGGCCTTTTGCAATGGAGAAACACGACAACAGACAACTGCTTTACAAAAGCTTCCCAAACGAATAAACATGTCTTCAAGATCTTCTTCAAGAGCGTAGGTAAGCGAATGACCATCAATAATCAACGCTAAACTATCATCCATCAGTGCTGCCATATCCGGATCATCACGGTGCTCATAAATAGCATCCAACTTTTCCATGAGATTTTGTCTAGTGTCTTCTTTGGTCTCTTCGTTGATGATTAACAAGTTCATGTCTTCCAGTAACAACTTACAAGACATACCAATGTTGATAGCCGTCTCTTGTCTGTCACCAGTCAATACCCAAATCTTGATGTTCGCTTCTTGCAACGTCTGAATTGTCTCGGGGACACCGTCTTGTAATTTATCTTCAATGGCAGTGGCACCAAGAAGAAACAAATCGCGCTCGATAAGTTCAGCAACTTCGTCCAACTTGTCTTGACGATCATTCATCGCTGTCAGAGCCTCGTAGTATTTAGCACTCCATTCATTGTATTCGGCATCAGGGACTATACGCAGCGCGATACAAAGTGTCCGCAAACCTTCAGCAGCAAAATCCTCAAGATGGCGCAAAGTGGCGTCAACAAACGGTTGCTCTTCATTCTGATTGAGTCTTTCAAGAATAACAGTGTCGGCACCCTTGCAGAATAATCTAATCACACCGTCCGGACATCTGTAAATGGCTGACATACGCTTACGCGTCAGGTTGAACTCACAAATGTTAAGCAATTCGTAATCGAAAGTCTTCTTAATGATCGTATTCTCAACTGTGACCCCCTTAGGCTTCCGAATTACAAACTTATATCCCAACATTGCTGCACCGTCCACCAACGCCCCTTCATCAGGAGAGGCAGCTTGGTATTTGATTGCACCTGTCAGCTCATTCACCTCAGGGATAACAGTATGACAAGTCAGCAAAAGAGTTAAAAACTCATTGATGATGGCCAGTTCAGGCAGCGACGGGTTCAGGACCAAGGTTTGATGCATGTCATCGAAAGTATGGAACCCAATTTCAATATCATCAATAATTTGCGGGTGGCCATCTTCAGGAATTTCTTCAGCATAGCATCTTCCACCAATTGTACACGCTTTGAACTCCATGATATTACGAGTAAGCGTCCCCGTCTTGTCCAGGAAAATGTAATCGATTTGCCCGAGTTCCTCAACTAACGATGAAGTTCGAACACCGCAAGGAGTATCAGTTTCTTCATAGTACATGTCCAAATCCAGCCCGATCATCCATGCTTGATAGTACTTGATAATCTCCACAGTAACAAACAACGAGATGGGGACCAAGTTGGAAAACAAAATCCAGTACGTTAACAAGTCCTGGAAGAACAATGCCACCAAACTCGTACCTTCTAGATACAAGTAACTGAGATCACTTCGATTCACCAGGATCTTGATCACATTCCCAATAGACAGGATAAGAGCCAAAACAATAAGAGTGCCAAACAAAGCGATGATCTGCAAATTGATGATACGTTCGACATCAGTCCGCTTGATAGGAGTGGCGGTGGCGTTACGCATCAACTTAGTTTCATGCCCAGTAAACACGGCAATACCATAAATCCATTGAGTGTTTCGTAATGTCGCACCTCTGAGCAACAATTGATTGGGCTGCAAAGGAAGCTGATCAGGGTGGTTACGCATGCCTTGAATGTTACCTTCGTAGGTGTACAATGATGAGTTTGGTTGTTCCGAAATAACATCAGCCAGCGCCAAATCACGCACAAGGTCGTTAGGTTGCACAAGGTACAGCGTTTCTTGTTTAGCTTGCTTAATCTTCAAATTGGTTTCGCCATCCAAATTGGCGGTTTCGATGTAGCACAAACCTTCAGGCTCTGAAGAGGCCAACAAGATCAAATCAGCGGGGAAGGCCTCTTCGTTCTGAACCTTGACGACATCACCGACACGCACTTGAATCCACTTCTTGAGGTAGAATTGACCCAGCAGTGGATCTAGCACGTGTACCTTAGTGTTATTAAGCTCTCTATCAGCATTGGCACGTTTCAAGTCTTCGACGATTTCCTTAATTGCCAGAACTAACAACACAACAATTAAGGTACCGATTGTGGTATACCGATTCGTGGGGGAAACATTGGGTACTTGTTGAATTGCCGATGTGAATAAGAAGAACAAGTTGGCATATTTGGAGAACTGTTCAAACAAGAATTTCGGCAAAAACGTGGCGAAGTTGTACTTTGTTGTCAGAATGTGATTGCCATAGTAGCCGTACTTGCCATTTTCGTCAGAATTAAGAATGTGCACGGTTCTGTGACCTGGTTTGCGTGGTGTGAGACCTTCAGCCCCACCCGCTTCTCCAGCAGCACCTCCAATCAGACCTCCGCGAGCGAAAGTGTTGCCGAAACGCTCTTTAGTCCGCTGCCAAAGCCGACGAATGTCAAATTCACGAGAGTCAGGGGGCCGTCCAACCTCACTGAGGTCCAGCCCTCGACGTGGCGCTCGCCCGTCGTTATAGTCAAACTGATTATAGTACGGTCGCCCGGTGTCCCGAGTGTGGGTGAAGTCATCATCGAAATCATCTTCACCATCGGATATTATAAATGAGTCGGAAAATGGATTGTTGTTGGATGTTAGGGGGGTGGTGCCATTGGTGGCAGAGTATCCTGAGGGGGCTGTATACCGCTGGTTGGGGTCATAGTGCGTGGCCTTGGACGGCTCTGCGCTTGATGAAATTGGCACTGCTCCATCGTATGGATTCGTCTCCAAATCCAAATCAATCAAATTGGCCAGTGGATCCGCAAAGGGATCTTTGGGATTGGAATTCCCTGCCATAGCCTTGTGGATGCGCTTGACGTGGGCTGAAAAAAGGCGAGACACGTCAAAGCCTTGGTCATACGCGAAACCTTAACTACAGGCATAAATGATGGCAGAAACCTACAGAGCAGACTATATTGAGAAGACAATTACTAGATGACCTAAAAGTCACCGTGTTATTACAATAAGTCTCAAGTGCAGTACATGTGGGGTGAGATCCATTTAACTCGCACAAGGGGCACCAAAGTATATTCAGTGCTGAAAATGAGCTTCAGATAAGTAAAAATATGGTCATCCGATGTCACGATCTGAAGCCAAAAAGATAGATGCTCCGCGGGAGGTTCGAACTCTCGACCTTCAGATACCCCATCCACATGGTGAATATGAGACTGACGCTCTACCGACTGAGCTAGCGAAGCAAGCTGAGCGACATGGTGGTAGCGGTTAATTGAGTACCGCCTATAAGCTATACCATATCGCGTCAAAAACAAATGCTCCGCGGGAGGTTCGAACTCTCGACCTTCAGATAACTCATTTCAAGAATGAATATGAGACTGACGCTCTACCGACTGAGCTAGCGAAGCTATTTTCTGAAAAGCGTAAAACTACAATATTGAGTCTGACTTCTGATATGCCTAATCTGGCGCTTTTTCGGGTCTTAATGCGCGATTAATGCTCTTTTTTTTGTGCGTATCGTTCATATAATCTTGTAGTGTATTTTAGATCACCAATTCATGCCTTTTCAGGAGTTTTCCAACGTGTATTGAGCTCCTAGAGTTTTGTAAGATATACGGCTATTTCACAGAACATTTGGTTGAAATGGATGGAAGGGATAGGTGCTATTCAATTTTTGAATACTGGATATCATAGATCAAGTCGGCTTTAGTATGACAGAGTTCACATTTTCAACGTTAGAACTACCTTTTGTAACATATCTTATATTGTCACAAATGTGAACTCAATATCCAGTGGAGTGATTGTGAAGATAATACACTGAAATCTTTTATATTACAGTTCGACGATGATCAGCAGTGCAGCATCTCTAGCATTATTTTGTTGAACAAAACTGAAGTAAGTGACAATTTCCTGGGTGATTAATCTGTAGGAATGCCAGACCATAAAACACGATATTTAAATTATAATGGAAGTTGAGGTTGAAGCATGAGTTTAGCTTTAAATCCTCATAATCTGGTGTGGTTCCATAGAACGGTAACTAGACAAATGACACAAAAGCAAATTATGATGTACTTTTAGATCTTAACATAGTCCAATGAAAAATGAAGATTGACTTCACGACATCGACTGAATATGAATCTAGCAAAAAGGATGCTCCGCGGGAGGTTCGAACTCTCGACCTTCAGATATCCCATCCACATGGTGAATATGAGACTGACGCTCTACCGACTGAGCTAGCGAAGCTCCTGTTGTCGGCGGAACCGTCTGACAAACTCTGAGCACACTTTAATCGCAAGATTTCAAGCAATATGAAATATGCAATTTGATGTTCTGCATTGTAACGCTCAGGACAGCTACGTACATCAGTTGCATTATAGGGCTGTAGAATTCACCTCAGAGTGAATACCATAAGCTTCTCACATACAATGCCGAAATACACAATTCGCGGCTCTTTAAAACAGCTACATAGATCAATCACTTGGAATAATAAGCGTTCAGTTCGGTTTACAATGACACGCCGTATCTTTTGTAGATTGTAGGAGCATGGTGTCATCTAAGCTTTGGGGTTCCCACTTCCAGTTTTTCGTATGCGCGCATTGGAAAATTTGTCTAATCTCACCATCCGAGTCCCATGCCCGTGAAAGCTATCGCCAAGACGAGTATTGCTCGGAACGGGGTAGGGTCGTTCGTTCGTCCCTGCTACCGTGTTACTCTCCAGTACTGTAACTGGGGTGGGTCTTCCCAAGGTTTGCGCGATCTTTTGTCCTCCAAGACCTTGGATCAGATGGCTGCTAAGGAAAAGCTGATCGTTTGGGAAGTGAAGAAGGTTGCTGGTCATCCCAAGGCTATCTTCCACTACAACAACAACAAAACCAACGAAGTTGACCTTGCCAACCTCAGTCAACTGGAAATCCTCAAGAAGGTTAACGAATTTTCGCAAAGAAGCGGCAACGACTTGTTCAAATTCAACCACAAGGTTATGTCGATCAACGAGTCTGTTAGAGGTGTTTGGTCGCCTTTGCACGAACCTAAGGGCCATCGTCATCAAATTTGAGTGTTGCTACCACTCACCCATGTACACTACTGTAAATAGAGAATATTCACGCTACCATTAGTTAAAGCAGACATCTTCCGCGAGAAATTTAAATTCGACAAACTAGCAAACTAGGCCTTCATGTCACAAAAAGCTATTTAATCATTGACTTATTCGAATGTCTATTTTCCTCTATAAATATTTAATGAATTAAGAAGTCACCGTTGAGGTGACTTGAGTAAACGTTGAAGTGAATTAACCTGTCATAAATCATTTTCCCTCGTTAGAGCTAGAAACGCCGGTGGCCTTATGAGTGTACGAATCGGCCACGGACAACACCGGTTCCACCGGCTCAGCTTGCTCTTCATCACTATGATATTCCTCCCCCTTCTTGACGTGGTAGAACTTGTTCCTCCAGAAACCGTCTTCACCAAGAACCTCCTTCGAGATTAACTTGTAGCCAAACACCTTTGGCGTGACACGAGTCCACAACACCCAGTAGACGAACCCGATGAAGAAGATACCCCAAGTAACAACGGGGTGAATCCAGTAGGGCATGCTCTTGTACACAGTTTGGCCACCTTGAGGAGGGACGTAAGGAGCCGCCACAAGGTACAAAGATGCCAAGAAGAAGAAGATAATCACGGGCACCGAAGCCTTAAGAGGGGGGTTCCATTCGATAAGGCCCTTCCGCTTGCGCCAGTGAATGTAAAGCAAGCCAGCAGCAAGAAGCGTGTTGATAAGATTCAACGGGTATTGAATCAAGTTCAACACGAAGTTATAAGCGTCACCAGGAGGCGGCGCCAAAATGGTGGCAAGGCAGATACACCAGTGCTGGAAGCAACCCATAAGAGGAGTGCCAAACGGCTTACTGGTGGCGAACAACCGGGGGAAGGGCAAACAACCTTCACGACCCAATTGTTGGATAATTCTACCTTGGGCAAACATCACCGACAAGGTATTACCAAGAGCAGACAAAGCGATGAAAACCGAAGCCGCTTGTTCACCAGCATCGCTGAAGGCGTACTTAAAGAAGGTAGCGGCAAGAAGACGACCGGAGTCGGTAATCGCCTCCTTAGGCACCACGGCAAAATAGGCAATGTTGACGAACATGTAAAGAATCCCAATGGTGATAAACGCGGTGGGGGCAGCCACACGCAACACCTTCACCGGATTCTTGATTTCGGCGAGAGCGTAGTTGGCATTCGAGTAACCAACGTACGACCAAATAACGTTGTATAAAGCGTTGACGATACCGAAAGCGGTAGGAGTGGGACCCGCGAACGCATCACGGAAGTTGTGGGGGTCAACCCAGTCGTGCTTTCTGATACCACCGCCAAGGGCGACCCACCCGGCGACGGTGATGAACAAAATAATCACAAGCTTGATAACCCCCAACACGTTGGCAATGTACAAACCAGTCTTGACGTGGAGACCGTTGACAAGAAGGGCAAACGAGATGACACCCACACCGATACCCCGCGAGTTCCATTGGGTGACGGCGACCCCACCAGCATTAAGCATTGCTTCCCCGAAAAGGATGGAATTCCCAGCACACCACCCCATGAGGAACACATAAGCAGCGTAGCAAGCAGTAACCAAAAACTTGGGCTTGTTGAAAATGTATTCAAGATAAGTCTTTTCACCCCCGTTTCTGGGCAACGCCAGCCCTAATTCCATGTACACCAACAACCCGGAAAACGCGATGACGGTACCGGCAAACCACATCATCAACGAAGTACCCACCGAACCAGACAAAATGAAAATGGTGGAACCAGTGGAGAACACCCCGGCACCAATCATCCGGTTCACCATCAAAAAGGAGGCGGAAATATAACCGATGTCTTTTTTATTGTGATCGAGGTTAACGGCGGCACCAGCTGAGGCTTCATGGTCGGAGGACGAATAAGGATCCGACAAGGCGTCTATGACCTTTTCGTTGTCCTCCTTATCAGATTTAAGGAAGTCCAGAAAACCCATCTTTGGTAGGATAATCGTGGGGCATCGGTGTTTTAAAAATGTCCCTTGTAATCTGGGCTGTAGAGTTATATGCAGTATTTCAGAAAGCAACGTTGACAGATCTTATGCGAGGTCTCAATTGCCGCACGAAAAAAAGAAAACTGTGGCGTCAATCCTTATAAATGTCTCGGCGGTGTGTACAACAGCGACCGCCACACCACCCTGAGCGGGGTTAATTACATCTACTTTTGTCCGCTTTCGTGTCTATCTACGCACTACGTACCCAATTATGCATCACACAATGTCCTGGGGAGAAACATCCCCCGATGCACGGCGTTCACTCGCCAGAATGCCTTTTGACACCGTTGGTGCCATCTCACGCGACCAGATCTGCGCGCGACCGCGAGAGATGACATCCTCGCACGTAATGACTTCCGGCGCCGAGCTGAATTAAAAAGCCGACCTCCGGTAGCATAAGGAGGGCGGTGTGGTCTCGGCTCGATTGCGTGATGGACAATACGATTCTCGACGTACCCCCCACGCCATGGTTTTATCTAAGCGCCGTTCTCGTAAATAGGAAGGCGGCAGCGAGCGGCGCCGGTTGTGGTCCCAAATCCATACGGCACTTGGTTCGTCCGGTTCGGCGACACTTGTCGCACTTATCATGCCGGTTGCGGGGGCATATAGCCTCGGACACTCGTAGCGCGAGATTCTGTGGAGAGAGTGGGCGGGTCTATAGTATATCTATGGTTTGTCATCATCGCTAGAAAGCTTCTAGGTTTTGAACCAGGGCAATCGGGGTCTCAAGTCCGAGTATATGTGAGCGTAACTCCGAGGCCCCCCTACTGCAACGGCGATTTGATCGGCACCATTAAGTAAAAGCCTTGCCCGCCTTAATTTCAGGTTTGCAAAGCCTTGCAACGGCTCCCTGTTCCTCGTATAGACATTGATTCATATATGAAGCCACCACAGCCGCCACAGCCTGAATATCTGCTACGGCGTTTCGATATGCGGGTGCAAAAAAAAAAAAGCTCTAGATCCTCCAGGCATAAGCGAATTTCGCGCTGGGTTTGATTATTTGAGAGCCACAGTATCGGTAACCATTACCAACAAAAGGCATTTTCGTGCAAACGTATTAATTTCTATATGCTTCTATGCTATTAAACCAATTTTGTGATCGCCTCTTGGGCCTTGGTCAAGTTGTCCTTCGTCCCGACAAGGTAAACGAGGTTGCCGTTCTTGTCCAGTTGTCTAGGGATGGTAATGAAGGTCCCGGTTTGGTTTCTGATGTCCGACACTCTCGAACCACCAGGACCAATGATCTTAGAGAACACGGACGGGTTTTGAGCGTAGAACCACCCTTCGTGGTCGGCGGCTTCAGCAAGAGCCAAGCGAGCCTTGATTTGCTCGGCAGCCTTGGCGGTGGCTTCTTCAGAACCCTTCAATCTCCAAGGGATGACGGCATCGTCATCCTCTCTGGCAGCAGCGGGGACGATGACAAATTGCGTCGACAAGTCACCAGTAGGGAAGGCTTCTTCAGGCGCAGCCGGAATAGGGGTCTTAGACAAGTTCGATGCCTTGCGAGTGTGGGGGCCGTGGACAACGTCGACGCCAAGCTTATTTTGCAATTGCTTGAAAACAGCGCCCCGTTCAGACACCAAGTGGTGGTACTTAGCCGGAACAGGAACTTCCACATTCCAGTCGTCCTTGGTCAATTCCTCAATCTTGGCCTTAGCAGCAGCAATCTTTTCGGGAGTACCCAGAAGCTTCAACACCAGCGAGGGGTCGTTGGGACGGGGGATCTCAATGTTAGCACCAGTCTCATCTTGAATGGCGTGACGGATTGAACCGCCAGGCCCAACAATGAGCTTATGCTTTTCCTTAGGCAATTCGTACTCCTCAGTCACCAGGGCTTCACGCTCAGCAACAATCTCCTTAACGATCTTCATCACCTTTTGGACAATCTCCTTGTCACCTGCCGAAGTAACCGACAACTCACCCAGACCTTCATTGGGAATGGTCAACAATTGGTAGTACTTACGGTTTCTGGGCATGTCCCCAGCACCAGCGCGGGTCAAGATGTCACGCATCACCAGACCATTGGGACCAATAAGGTCACGGTGGTACTTGGGGTCAACGTCGAACGATTCTTGCACGAAGTTTTCCACTTCGTCAATGATTTCTTGAATCTTGGCCTTCGCTTCCTTCAACGCCAGCTTCGACCCAGTAAGTTCAAGTTCAGCATAACCTGAAGCTTCTTCAGCTTCTTTGTCACGCTTGAACTTGTATTCAACACCAGTGCCGTCCGAGATGTCCCTAATGACTTCACCACCCTTACCAATGACGCGAGCCACCGCAGACCCAGGGATCTTCAACGTTTCCGTGAACCCATTCTCCTTTTCGAACGCGTACAATTCGAGCAATTCTTCTTCGGCCTTGGCCACGCCCTTAGAGGGACCCTTGATGACAACTTCATCAGCCTTGACACCATCAGGGGTGGCGTTGCCGTTAGAAGCACGAGGGAAGTTGATTTGCACGTTGTACTTGTCTTGCAAACGGTTGATGTAAATACCGTTGGAACCAATCATACGACGGTGGTACTTTTGCTCAATCTTGATTCTGGAAATAGTTTCGTCAGCAAGCTTCTTGGCGAGTTGAGTGACCTTTTGCTTCGCGGCTTCGACGTTTCTCTTGATACCGGTGAGTTCAACGTCAACTTTGTCGCTGTTGTCGTCACGTTCAGGAACATCGATCTTGATGCCAAACTCGTCACGCAATTGGTTCAAGTTGGCACCTTGCTTACCGATGAAACGCAGCACCACTTGCGAAGGGATCGACACCAGGGTCAGGTACAGGTTACCGTGTTCCTTGGCATCGGCAACAGCCAACTCAATTTGCTTTCTAATGACTTCGACATCGTTCTTGAACCCAAGAATAGAGATAGCATCATCGTGAGGAGCACCCATCGTCACGCGGACATCGTTATCAACCCCCAGCAAGATCAGGTTCAAGGTGGTCGAGCGAGGACCTCTGACATGCTCATGATCGGCCAGAGGCACATCGATGACGGCAGTGTGCAAGTCAGCTTGAGACTTTCTCAAGTCACTAAGGGCAGCATCGACGGCATCGAGTTGCCTAGCAATGTCCTCAGCGTCGACAAAGTCATCGTCCAGGTCGTCGGTGTTGGCGAACAAGAAGACGTTGTCGCCCAAGACAATCACCTTGACGTTGTTAGACTTCGAAGCTTCGGCCAATTCGGCTTCAACTCTGGGGATCAAGAACGAGTTGATGTCGTTAATGTGCTTGCAGTAAGCAGGGGTAATCTGGTTAACAGTGGCAACAATTTGCGATCTGGCACGCTTAACTTCATCTTGTTGGTCGTTCTTGGCAATGATCTCAATGGGGATCAGCAGGATATCCTTCGCCAAATCGCGCTTCGACGGCACGGAAATCTTAACATTCTGTTCCGACGCAATTTGGTTGAAGCGGCCGTTAGTGCTCAACAAAGAGGCAACAGCCTTGACGTGATTCAAGTTACCCCCGTGAGCACGCAGCATGTCCAAGACTTCCACCTTGTATTGCAGAGTGGTCTTACGAGCCTTTTCCTGAGCAGCGGCGATTCTCGACTTTTCACCAATAAATTGAACATCAGTTTCTTCAGGGCCAGGCAACTTAATGAAGACTTGGTCCTCGTCCAAAATTTGGTCAATGGGCAAGAATTGGTGCTTCACTTGAGGAATAGGGACGCGAGTAGTAGTGATCTTAGGAGCGAAAGCGTCAAGAGCTCTTTGAGCGGCCTCCTTGGCAGCCAAGACCTGTTCACGGTCACCAACAATAGACAAACGAGACGAGTTTTGCTTGTGAGTAGGAATCGAGAAGTCAAGGTCAGGGTAGGATTCAACCACGGGGTTAAGCACGAATTGAGCAAAAGGCTTGACGAGTTCATCGATGGCCAACTTAGCCGCCAAGTTCTTGGTTTCCTCGGTGACGATGGCCAAGATTTGAGCTTTGGCTCTCTTAGCACCTTCAGCGTCACCTTCGATAACAATGGGGATGGTCTTCGAGAACACGTCCTCGTCGTCTTCGTCGTCATCATCACCTTCGTAGTTGGCGACATCGATCTTGACCTGGTTTTGAGCGACAATGGGTCTCAAGTTCTTACCACCTTGACCAATGATGCGCGATCTCAACTTGGCTGGGACGGTGAATTGAATCTGCACGGGCTTGGTGAGCTTTCTGATGACAAGACGCTTAGCCAACTTGACGTTTTCGGGCTTACCAGAGATCAAAAAGGTACGCTTCAGGGACGAAATCAGGGACTCAATCGAGGTTTGGGTTTCGGTCTTGATCTGAGTCAAGATTCTGATAAACTCGGGGCGGGCAACTTGGATTTGGTCATCGACATCCAACGAGAACGCATCTTGAATAGTAGACAACTTGGGGGTGTTACCATTGGCGGGGCGAGCTTTGACCGGGGCAGGGGCGACCGCGGGCGCCTTCATCTGAGGGCCCCACGAGGTGGCAGCCGACGAAGCGACCAGTCTCTTGCCACCACCAAGGGTGGGGAAAGCCAGGTCATCGGAAATCAGCGGGGGAGGGGTGCTTTTAGCTTTTCTGGACTGTTCAGGCTCAATGTACGCGGGTTCCTCTTTTTCAACGTAGGTACCGTTGACGCGGGCGGCGATAATTTCAGCAGGAGTAGACATGATGGCAATGCTAAAAATAGCAGCAGGATAATTTCGGGCGGGGACAGAAGACCAAGGGGGGGTGGAGGGGGTGAGCTTTTTTTCACAGTGAAAAAGTTGAAGATCTTTTGGCTACGTACCGCTCACCGAAATCGCATTTTTCGATCGATGTGCAGGACAACCAAAAAAAATGAGGGGAACGTGGACGCTCGAGTGGATACATAAACAATCTTACGAGAAATTACTGAAAAGATTGGTCGCGATCGATTTTCGAATCACCCGTAATTTGCACACTCAAGACATTATGGGGACATTGTTAAAACCAATTATGGCCCATAATCATGGGTATATGGCTGGAGATGTTGTTCCGTCCACCTGAAGAGCATGGCGAAACTGTGGGTCTTGGCCACCAAGCCTCATGAATTTCTCGTTACATCAAATTGAACCTCAGTAAAAGACCAATGTAAAAACTTGAAGGGACAAGCCAGTAATGATCTGGAAACTTTTGATAATTATCGGGTCATCGATGCCAGCCGTTATCACCGACTGATTGCTAAGCCGGCTCGGTTTTGTCGGAATAACAACGAGTGTTAACCCGATCAGTAACTAAGATGTGGGTCTAGTGGGGAGATTTCGCGTACTATCTGGGGATTCTGTTATGGGAGCAAACGAGGCGGAGTATTCCGAGAGCGGATATGTTGTAGATTAATTCCCACTCTGAACAAGGCTTCTATTGGGTTTTCTTCTGGCTTGGCGAGTCCCCGATATATCCGAAAGCGTGCCTAGTGAAACTGCGCACTATCGGACTTCTTCCCAGGACGGAAGCAAGCCGAACGAGTCGGAGCCTGGAACGGCGGAGGAACGGCGGATCTACGAGGTGAAATGGCCTGCGGGAATGTGTAATTAACTATGCTAAAGCTACCAGCACGAGCCCGTGTTGGTGGACGATGAAAGTCCGACAGGACTTAAGTTTGGACGACCTCAGCTTGTCACTCCGTAATGCTCGAGGAAGGAGGTCGTAATCCACAAAGACGTCATCTTTATGCGTGTGGGGTACCAGTGCAGGTATTATTTTGTCGATATTAGATATGGTCAACCGCTTCCCCACCCAGCGGTCGTACGAATTGAGATTAGGCACGCACACGGAAATGTACTGCTTCTCGATGGCGGAGTAGTAGGATTCGTAGGACACCAACAGGAACTTGCCGATGGTGATGGTGTGGTTGGAGTCGTCAGCTACCGATGACGCCAGCGTCTCGGTCAGTCGCACCAGCTCCTGGTCAAACATCAGCTCGGGATAGCTATCGACCAGCAGCATCGACGGCAGCGACCCCAGCCGGGTACGTGTCAGAAGTTTCTCGTCGTCGCGGTGGCCGTGGGAAAATAATTCGTCGAATATCGCCATATGTGAGTCCTCCGCCATCAAATCCTCGGCAAGCATGCGGTGAGCCTGAGCGATATCTCCGTGGCGCCGTAACGCCAGAGCATACATCGACGCCGTAAGCAACGCGTTGTTGCGAACGGTGTAACGACTCGGCAACAGCTTGAGCCGAGTAAGCTCGCGAGACTCAATGGGGGCGGCGAGATCCTTCCCAAGGACGAGGAGACGGTACCACGCGACTACCCCATGGAATGACCACAACTGCATCAACAACTGCAGACACTCGACCCGCAAGCGCAACACATTTTTGTACTTGAGCAACGTTTCCAAGCGAAGCGGACGCATCTCCTTTTTATGCATGGCCAGGGCGAGCTGGTTCATCAGCATCGCCTCCCCCACTTGTAACTCGTGGAGGGTGTACAGGTTCTCGAGCTTAAGCTGGTAGCGTTGTTTGATCGCCGAGAAGTGGGCCTGAGAGTCCAGACCTTCAAAGAGCATGCGGTTGTCGCGAATATCGTCGTATATCAGACTGATATCCACTTGTTTAGACGTATTAAGCAGCTTGAAAAGCTTGCCGATCTTCGGCGTCCCCATAGTAAGCTTCATCTCTTCCATCATCTCCTTTAACGAGTTCACTTCCTTATAAGAATCAACAATTGTCTGGCGGAGTTTCTTGTCACAGCCTAACGAGTACAAATTGAGTTGGGTCAGATTGAGTTCCACCATCATCGGTTGCCATCGCTGGTTGCACGCCATGTGGACCGGGGTGGTGAACTCTTCCTGGATGAGCGCCATCAGGTAGTATTGCACCGTGGGCAGGTATGCCGGGAGTTGTTCTTGTGGCGGTGAGTACGCCGGTAAACGTTCCGAGGTCGTCATCAATTATCTTAACTCGCTTTATTTTTAGGTGACACGGGTCCGTCGTTTTATTTATATATAAACGTGAAGTGGGGATGCACAGAGTTGAGGGCTGTACGGTCGCTTATGAGCCTTGATGCACAAGATCATGCACAGCCAAATTTGAAGGTCAGCCAAGAGAAACGCCACCAGTAAAAGTGGGGCTCGCAATGGTTTGTCACACAAAGCTACTGATGTTCACGGACGCGGTACCAGGCTAGCCTGTCGCTATCCGGCAATCAAACAAACAATTTTATCGGACGTTTGCTCAAGATTTAAGGTGCAGTTGGCTCATTTGCAAGTGCGCGTAAGCAGAATTTCTCACGATCTTATTGGACCGAGCGGAGCTATCATGCGAGCCTGCCGAGCCGAAAACCCGCTTTAAGTTCGTTTTCTCAGGTAGTCCGCTACCGAATTACTGGATCTTTTTTATTGCTTTTAGGCTGACGAGAAGGGGTAGGCTTCGATTACGTCGAGGCGACGATCATCGCAACGATCGGACCATTCTATATTTGCTCTATGGATGACTAGCAATTGCTAAGTTTGTACCGCGTAATCGCAAAAAGTCCGCAATCTGCGGCATTGTCATGATCATCCCCCCGCGTGAATTGTGCTGTCAAATACTCATTCACAAAGTCCGCGTGAGAAAAGAGGGGTATGACGTCGATGGGAAAAAAGAATCTCCCGAGCGTGAGTCGAACACGCGACCTTGAGATGACAATTCCATTACAGTCTCACGCTCTACCAGCTAAGCTATCGAGAGGATCTTGCTGCAAAAATCGTTATTTTGATGGTACAATGCAAAATGAAGTGTCCCTTCTCCCCCGAACCCCTTCTAATCAAGGCCATACGACTATTCTATTAATTCTAAAACGTTTCCAAGTTCATTTGTGGAGGGAAAATTGCAGTTTTGAGAGTTCTCCGGTGAAATAATTGGCAGTTTTTCTTGTCACTGAGTAAATTTGCAATCTTGGCAAAAATCGATAATGTTACAGAAAATGCTAAACTAAACTATCTGTGGATATTGCGTGGAAGCCATTTAGTTCCGATTTACTTGTTTCCAAAGTTGCGATAGTTTGCTGCCTGATTACACGTCTTTTAGTGATGGCATCTTGGAGTATTCGGCGTCTCGGCGATTTAAGTGCCGCACCTGCCATTTGGGTATATTGATTGCCGTATGGCAACTGACGCTTGTGTCAAAATTTGCAACCGAGTGATGCAGGTGGCGCAAATTAAAGCGAGAAATCAATTATAGCTATCAAAGTTTACTCGGAGTTTGGCGACGGAGACGGTTCGTAATCTTGTTATCAGTCATGGTTATACACAAAGTCGATGTTTGAAACCAGTCTTTTCGAAGTTGGTGATGAGGCCACGCGAACTCGTGGCGTAAGCCACAGACATCGCGTCTCAAAACAGCAGGTGGATCAGCGATCACTTGCCGCTTAGGTAAAATGGTGTACGCGAGTATACATTGGTATTGTGGTGGTATATTTGACAAAACACCATGAATATCATCATTACGAAGTTAGATCACACTCGTAAATCACCTGTTTTGCCACCTCGGTGGTTGTGGGTGGCCCAGCTCACGTTTTTTCTCGGATCTGGAAGCTACTATCCAAAACGGGAACCGCGCTCGGCGTCTCCTGCCCTCCTGGTCAATAAGCGATAAAGAATATAGTGGCATGAAGAAAAATTTATAAACTCAAATATTTACCAAAACTACCTCCATCTAGATGTCTTACCGTGACTATCAACAGGTATTGGATATAAACATTCGTCCCAAGCGGCCCAAGAGCGGTCGGACCACCCCGACCAAGGTGACGAAGACTCAGACGATAAGGAAGCGTACCAAGACCGGGTGCTTGACCTGTCGCAAGCGAAAGAAGAAGTGTGACGAGGATGTCGTTAACGGCAAGTGTCAAGGGTGCTTCCGCAACTTCTTGGAATGCTGTTGGGAAGCCCCTCGCTTCGCTGCCCCCTCCACCGAAGACAAATCAGCGAGTGAGTCAGAGCTGGTGACCCTGGCGAAGCTGAGCCGGTCGAACTCGGTCAGTCTGGAGTCCTCCACCGGTAGCGAGACCCCCAGTGCCCGCTCCAGATGCCTGATATCGGCGCTTTTACTGCATGACGACCAGGTGTCGCCGTTACTGTCACCACAAGGGTCACCGAGACCGCAAGCGGCCAGCCACCCGTCGTACGCCATCAGCAGCCTTCTGCTAACCCCGCGGCAACCCCAGCCGCCGCAGATGTCGCCGTCTACGTCGAAGTTTATCGTCACTACGTTCAATGTGGCTAATGAGATGTACCATGTCCGCAATTAAGCGGCGGCGGGGTCGGAGTTCACCGTCCCCAGGGGTCATTATGAGTAATATCACTATTTTTATATAATTTGGATTTGGGAAAGGAATACACGGAGTTACTATGGGCCAATCATTTAGACCCCCGATTAGAAATCGACTGACGAATTTTCGGATTTTTCACGTGATGTGAGTCGCTCGGTGCATATCTGCCAGCATCCCCTGCCGTTGATGCTCAAACGATGGTGGGGAGCGTCAGTTACCGGTGCCGGCGAAACTAAAAGCTTGACTACCTTAGCTAGTGAATTTTTCACTTAACCGTTGGCCGTTTTAGATCGTATAATTCATCATTGATCGGTTATCTCGCCGATACCGGAGTACGTCCACAGTGGCTGCAAAACTGTGGTGGCATCAATGAGCGATCCCGATAATGAATACCCGGGGATACCAACCATGAATATATATTGCCCCTGTCCATCGTCACTGATGAAAAGCATCGTTTCACCATGAGCAATAAGTTTGGCAACTTCGACATTCACTTTTACAACGGCAAGGACGAAGTCGCCGACGATGGCGTGCTTGTCATCAACTCGAAGAACCGGGCGGCGTCGAACCACCCCGAGTTTTTGCCCACCTGGGACCCGTCGCAAAAGTACGGGCCGTTGACGTTTTTTAAGCACGAAGACCCCGGCCACCGTGCCGACAAGCAATTGCTGAACTTGTTCAAGTACGGCTTGGACGACGCCGGCAACCCCAAGTCGGGCGACGACTACACCTCGCGTCGGATCACTCCCAAGTTCGGGACTGAGGTCCGTGGTCTCCAGATCTCCGAATTCACCGACGAGCAAAAGGATGACTTGGCTCTCTTTGTCGCTCGCCGGGGTGTCGTCATTTTCAGAGACCAAGACTTTGGCGACAAAGGTCCCGAGTTCGCCGTCAACTACGGTAAGCACTTTGGCCGGTTGCACATCCACCCCACTTCGGGGGCTCCTCGGGGCCACCCTGAGTTGCACATCACCTACCGTCGTCCTGACGAAGGTGAATTCGAACGGGTGTTCGCCAACCGTAACAACAACGTCGGCTGGCACTCCGACGTGTCCTACGAGCTCCAGCCTCCAGGGACCACTTTCTTCTCGGTGCTTGAAGGTCCCGACGCTGGTGGTGACACCATCTTTGCCGACACTGTCGAAGCCTACAACCGGTTGTCGCCGGAGTTCCAAAAGAGATTGGAAGGGTTGCACGTGTTGCACACGTCGCTGGACCAGGCCAAGGACTCGACCAAGCTTGGCGGCATCGAGCGCCGGAAGCCGGTGCTGTCGATCCACCCGTTGGTGCGGGTCCACCCCGTCACCGGCGACAAGTGTATCTACTTGAACAAGCCGTTCTCGAGAAGAATCGTCGAGTTGAAGGAAGAGGAATCGAAGTACTTGCTCGACTTCTTGTACTGGGTGATTGAATCGTCGCACGACTTGCAATTGCGGGCCAATTGGGAACCGAGATCGGTGGTCATCTGGGACAACCGGAGAACGGTGCACTCGGCCATCATCGACTGGGACACCCCCGTGTCGCGCCACGCCTTCCGCATCACTCCGCAAGCGGAACGTCCCATCGCCGACTTGAAGGACTTGAACAAGGCCGAAGTCGACGTCGGTGACTTGGAACGCGCCTTGAACAACTTGTAAAGCTGTCCACCGTCTAAGTACATTATTTATATGATAACAAATGAAAAGAAATTCTGAAAATTTATTAGGTCTATAAGTCACAATTCCATTTCGCTGGTGGCGAAAGGGTGGTGGTCGTCGTCACTGCTGTCATCAATGGCCATCTCATTATCCGCCGCAGTGCCCGACGCTGGTCCTGCCCGCACCGCTGCTGCCGCTGCTGCCGCCGCCGCTTGGGCTTCGTCATCTTCATCTTCAAAGTCCACGTCGAAGAAATCCTCATCCAGTCCCGTGATCCGTTGGTACAAAAGCTTAGCGTCGGTGACGATGCCGTCGTAAGAGATCTCCAGCGTCGGCGCGTTGGTGAAGATAATATCCTCAGCCCCCGGCACCTTTTCAAGGACGATGTTTCTCACCGTGGAGTTAGGCTTGAGCGCGTCAAAGATCGTGGACAAGTCAGGGTTAACCAACGTCTCTTGGACGTACCCCACCTTGCACACCACGTCAACCTTGGCTTTAGGCACAAAGTTGTGGAGCAGCGTCCCCAACTTGAACAGATTGGCGATCACCGGCGTGCCGCGCGAGTCAAACACCACCTCCTGTTCTTGGAACACGTCGTCCAAGTCCAGGTCAGGTGCCGATTCACGCAAGAGCGCCGACTCCATGCGCTCACTGGCGACCTCAAGATCGCTCTTGGCTTGTTGGATGTTCTGTTCCACAGTTTGCGCGTACCAGATCGATTGGCCTTGAGGACACACCCCCAGTTGACCGTTTTGGATGATCACTTGTACCGAGCAAACGTTGTTCAGCGGCAACAGCCCCGGAGGGAAGACAATGATTGTCAGCGATTCACCCAGCATCCATTCCTTGCAGTCGGTACGCACCACCGTCACTAACCGGGTGACAGTGTAACGAGGCAAGTCCTTTATGGTTTCCAGGTAGACTCCGGACAAGAATTTGGGTACTTGAGTTGGCAGGATTACCAACTTGTCATTGATTTTGATCTTCAGCCCGTCGGAGAAGCGAGCGTATCTCGATTGAGGATCCCAATCAGTCAACGTGGTGTTAAGCTTGTAGGTGGTACCGGCCACAGCAGCGTTACGGCAGAAGCCTTGCGACACCTCACCGGGTCCCCCGTAACGCAGCACCATCACCGGGAAGTTACCGTACTGGTCGAAGGACACCAAGAACCGTTTGATCCGCTTGAGGGCGAGCGAAGACTTGGTATTGCGTTCATTGCAAAGCCCCAACGTGTAGATAAGTTCGTCGACTTGAGGGGTATCCAAATGGAAGTTGGTAGCTAAGAATTCGTTGATGGGCACGTGGCCTTCAGCCTTAATCATGGCACGCTTTTCGTCGGAGTTGTCAAGAACAAACTTGAGAAACTTCATGAGATGGCGCTTAGTAGCTAACAGCAACAGCTTATCCATGAAAATGTTCTTCTTCGTCAGCTGATTCAACAGTTGACTGAAGTCGTCGTTCTCATAGGTGTGGAACGTCAGCAAAGGCACTAGTTCCAAGTACTTGTAGACACGAGACTTTGACAAAAGCGAAACAAAGTCCAGCTGGCAGAACAACACCTTGGGACACAAGTCGATCCCGTAGTCTCTCAGGACAAACTTGTTGGTAGTCTTACCGCCCGGGATGTAGATCTGAGCCTGGCCGAAATGAGGAACGCTGCCGGCATTGACTTCCTGGACCCAATGTTTGATCTGGTCAATCGTCATGGTGGTGGTGGCGTCGCCGTAGGTATCCTTGGCGTCGATGTGGACCACCTGGGTGCCGTTCCACGCCAACGCCGCCGCCAAAATCAGCTCGGTGAGCCCCGTCCCCTGGATCAACACGTCGCATTGGTCCAAGCGGAGGCTCAGGCTCTCTTGAGGAGTTTCCAACCCCGTCAACGGCGGGATAGGTGGCGTGGGTGCGTGCATCAGCGACCGTCTTTCTGCCATGCTTTGGCGTCTTTCTTTCACAGGCATGTCGAGTATGACAGGAACGAGCCGTCCAATCCAATCACCAAGACACTTTGCAAGGTCTTGGGGTTCTGTATATTGAAAATGGGCAGAGGGTTAACGGCAAGCGGTAGGTATAAAATTTTGTTTAGTCTCGAAGCAAAAGAGAAAAAAAGCGTGCATGGTTGCGAGCTATTCTGGTCGCTTTGGTTGGGAACACTGACGAGTTTTTTTTTTTTTACTCTAGAAAAAAAATCTGTAAAAAGTGATCGCGGGGCTCAACGGGCATGCCACCTATTAAAACCTTGTGTGTGGCATTTAGAGGAAGCATACGTTTACATCAATTTCAAAGGGACCGTAGTCCCGTGATTGCTTTTTGAGGGGAGCGAAAGTTGCCTTTTCATTAAGTGTCACGCAGGCTTACTGTTTGGGCCACCGTAAGAAATTTTTTCCACCACAGAAGTGGCTGTATCCAGTAACGCTCTCACCTGGCTTTTTTGCACTTTTTTTTTTCGAGTGCCGCCTGTTGTCTAGGCTTACGTGCGTCACCCCCTCAACGGGGAAATAGAGTGCGCCCCGCGCCCGTGCCGTGGCGGCTAGTGCGTGGCCTTTTCAGCCACTGATGGTGGCAAGGCAAGGGCGACCACCCCCACATTGTTCATGAAAAAATTTTCACAGGTTAGGCGATACCGTTGTGATGAGCTTGGGGCGTAGTCAACTGGAATATGACACGATGGAAAAGCAACGGAATGGTGATATAGAGCACGGTGTCCGTAATCACACGTGACCCCCCGCACGCCCAATATTTCCGAGACGTTTTGGTATGGGGCGATCCTGGCTATGAGTACGCTTACCGAAGCACCTAAGCCCGCGGGGCTGTTGCTATTGGCGTTTCAAGTGAAGGGCAAACACTGCCTTGTCATCGGTGGTGGCAATGTCGCCCTTTCTCGTGTTGAGCACCTCATTCGTGCCAATGCCAAAATCACCGTGATTACCGGCGGCGGTAACGTGTGCCAGGAGATGAAAGACTACGCGGCTAATGGCAAGATCCACAAATTGGTGGAGCGGGAGTTTAAGCTGACTGACTTGACCATGTACGAGAATGTCAACAAGTTCAGCGACGTCGACCAAATCAGCGACGCGGCGTCGTTCGACCTCATCAAGTCACTGGTGTACAACGAGATCTTCGCTATCGTCTGCTGCTGCATCGACAACTACGCGTTGCTGGAGAAGATCTACTATCAGTGCAAGTACTTGCGGCTCCCGGTGAACATTGCCGACAAGCCGCCGCTCTGTGACTTCTACTTTGGTCTGATGTACAACCAGGAGAACCTTCAGATCATGGTGCTGACCAACGGCAAACTGCCGCGGTTATCGCGGATAGTCAAGGACAACATTGCCAAGGAGTTTGATGGCATTGACTTGAATAAAGCGGTGGAAAACTTGGGCCTTATCCGGCTGAGGTTGCGTAACTTGATCCCCATTGATGATGACGATGTGCTCAACATCGATACGCGTATGAACTGGATCAAGACGTTGACCGATTTCTTCACCCTCAAGCAATGGCTGGAGCTTGAGCTTATACCTCCCAGCTCGGCGCCTCCCTACGACAACCGTCACAAGTACATTGACAATATCATCAAATACTTCCCTGATTACCCTCCTTCGGACTTTGAGGAGTTTAAGCTGGTGGTGATCTGCGACTAATATGATAGTTGTGTATACATTTATATATATATAATTATCGTGTCCTATGCATAATTTTCGTAGCTCATTGTAAATGGAGATTGATTCACGCGTCACCTTCGTGGTTGGGCTTGACGTAGATCTTGTGGTCCTTTTCTTGGATGTGGACGGTTTCAGCATCACGCACTTGGCCCTTGATCAACAACGTCGCCAACGGGTTGAGGATTTCCTTCTGCAACGTCCGGTTAAGCGGGCGAGCCCCGTAGATGGGGTCGTAGCCTAAGTCACAGAGCAACGACTTGGCATCCTTAGTGACATCGAGAACAATGCGCTTGTCGGTAAGTCGGTCTTGGATCTCACGCAAACGAATGTCCAAGATCGACCGGAGCAGCTTCTTCGACAACCGGTTGAAAATGAGAACGTCGTCCAAACGGTTGAGGAATTCAGGGGGGTAAGTGTGACGCAACACGTCCAAGATCAGATCTCTGATCTCGGGCTTGATCTTGCCGTCATCAGTGGCCTTCTTGTCATTCAACAAGATCTCTTGACCAAGGTTGGACGTCAACACAATGATGGTGTTGCGGAAGTCAACTTTACGTCCGTGGGAGTCAGTCAACGACCCTTCATCAAGCACTTGAAGCAACAACTTCAGGATGTCCTTGTGGGCCTTTTCAAACTCATCAAACAACACCACCGAGTAAGGCTTTCGGCGGACGGCTTCGGTTAACTCACCCAGTTCATCGTACCCGACGTAACCAGGAGGAGAACCAATGAGCCGCAGGACGGAGTGCTTTTCTTGGAATTCCGACATATCAAACCTAATCACCAGGTTGGTGTCGTTAAACAAGAAGTCAGCCAACGCCTTAGTGAGCTCAGTCTTACCGGTACCGGTGGGACCCAAGAAGATGAATGAGGCAATGGGACGCTTGTCGGAAGTCAAACCGGCCCGGTGCATTCTCACGGCATCAGCGACAGCGTGCACAGCTTCATCTTGACCCACAACCTTTTGCTTGATAAGAGTTTCCATGTCCAACAACTTGTCCTTTTCACCCTTCATGAGGTTAGAAACGGGGATGCCCGTCATCTTGGAAATGACGGCGGCAATGTCTTCAGTGGTCACCGAGTCGTGCAACAAGCTCTGGGCCTTCTGGCCTTCTTCCAGCTGCGTCAATTCTCTCACCTTGTTCTCGAGCTCGGGGATGGTCAGGTATTGCAATTCCGAAGCCTTACCGTAGTCACCGTTACGTTGACTGACTTCGAGGTCGTGCTTGGCCCGCTCCAAGTTGTGCTTCGTGTCGCGGATTTCATTAAGACTGTCCTTTTCGGTGTCCCATTGGTCCTTCAATTCCTTCTGCGTCTTGCGTTTGTTTTCCAAGTCGTCCTCAAGTTTCTTGCGGCGACTGACGGACAACGGGTCCTCTTCCTTGCGCAACGATTCGAGTTCAATCTCAATGGTCATGATGTCCCGGTCTAATTTGGCGATAGAATCGGGCTTCAGCTCGTGTTGCAATCTCAACGTCGAGCACGCCTCATCAACAAGGTCAATAGCTTTGTCAGGCAAGAATCTGTCGGTGATGTAACGGTTGGAGTAGATGGCAGCAGTGACGAGGGCACCGTCAGTGATCCGCACCCCGTGGTGGACTTCGTAACGTTCCTTCAACCCACGGAGAATGGAGATGGTGTCTTCGACACTGGGTTCGTTGACCATCACCGGCGAGAACCGCCGGGCCAACGCGGCATCCTTTTCCACGTATTTGCGGTATTCGTCGATAGTAGTGGCACCACAGAGCGACAATTTGCCACGAGCCAACGCCGGCTTCAACATGTTCAGAGCGTCAATGGAACCTTCAGCTTTACCCAATCCCATCAAAAGGTGGAGTTCGTCGACAAACAACACCACCAGGCCCTGCTTGTCTTCCACTTCCTTCAAGATTTCCTTAAGCTTTTGTTCAAAATCACCGCGGAACTTAGAGCCCGAGATGATCCCAGCAAGATCAAGCACGATCACTTGCTTATCCTTCATTGATTCGGGGACTTCGCCCTTGACGATTCTTTGAGCCAACCCTTCCATCACCGCGGTCTTACCGGTACCAGCATTACCAATGAGCACGGGGTTGTTCTTAGTTCTCCGACTCAAGATCTGGATAGTCCGTCTGATTTCTTCGTCGCGGCCAATGACGGGATCAAGCTTACCTTCGCGAGCGAGGGCAGTGAGGTCCTCCCCGTACTTTTCAAGCGCCGGGCGGTCGTCCTGCTCTTCTTTGTTCATCTGCATTTGCATTCGGGAGAACGCCAGCAGCGAGAACTGGCGCAATTGAGGTCTCCAGGGCGAGACCATCCGGGGTTTGGCGGCTGCCGGGAGTGGCTGAGGAGCGGCAGCAGGGGAATAGTGGTGGTTCACGTCACGGGGGACGGCTCGACTCAATTGGCGGGAGGCAAGGGGTGCCATTCGCAACGGAGCCGGCCGCATCTTCATCGCTCTAGCCGTAAGCATGGTGAGTTCTGTACTATGGGATGGGGTTGCGGCTGCTTCGGGATTTAAATAGAGAGACCCCGCGGGCCCTAACCCCTGGAGTCGTGCAGAATGCCAGAAAGTTCGAGAAGGTTCCACCGCCTTCGATGGCGAAAAAATGATCTATAGGGGTAGGAAAAGTAATTCAGATGGGGTTCTAAGAATTTCTGTTGTACACCTGCTCTTATTTTCATTGGTTAGTGTCATCTTTTCGTTATCGTGCTTTAGCCTCGTCTGTTACCGACACCCATTTCCGCACTCTTCCGAAAAATTCGTGGAAGCAACGGAAGCGAGAGTTGCTTGATGCCCCTCCTCTGTCGATCTAGATCGTATGTTAATTTATAAAAGTTTATGTGGAGTAGGAAGAGGGGCAGGGGTTTGCTTGCTTCACTGCATGTAGCGTTTATTTAGCCCTGTGCCCGCCAGGGCTGGTGTTCTATAAGTTTAAGGGTGGTTCAATTAATACCACTAACGGTGATTTGAGGTGTCAGCGGGACCGTAGAGAGAGTCGTCGGTGTCGCTATCAAAGTAGGAGTAGTCGCCAATCACCACCTCGTGTTCCAGATCGCTGGCAATTGCCTCCTCCAGCAGTTGATCCGATGAGGAAGGGTTTAATACAGCAAACTGAGAGGTGAAGTTCACTGGTACTGGGTGCTGGGGTGGTGCTGGTTCCGTTTCCATCGTTTGATGACGGTGAACCGTGGCTGAAGCAGTGTCCACGGCAGTGGTGGCAGCGGTAGTAGTAGCAGCTTCAAAACTGGTATCGCCGGGTTGGAGGGTATCCAATTCCACGCCATTGTCGCTTGACAGAAGCTTGGAGTGGTCGCTATCGTCTTTGGTGACGATATGTTTGCTGCCAAAGATGCCATTCTTGAAAAATAGCTTCCCGTCCTTGTAAATGGAATACGTGCGCTTGCGATGGATATTCAGCGAAAGGGACACGGCATCGTCGACCAGAATACGACGACCAAGCACGCCGATAAGCTCATTACGTTTTTCCACTAACGCAATGTTGAATATCCATTCCCATACCATGGTGATCAAAACCACCTCAATAAGGTACGGGAGGAAGACAAGCCAGGTAAGCGGAAGCCATTTCTCGCGGAATAAGGTGACAGTCAACAACAGAAGCACCACATGGGTACCAAAAATCACGTTGATAAAGAGCCCGAGGGGAAGTAATTTGCGGCAATACGATACCTTACGGGGAGATTTAGTCCTCCACGTATAGTACAATAGCAGCCCCCAAAAGCCCATGATGATCACCACCATAAGTACCACGCGGACAATTTTAAACGTTTCAGCAGTACTACCAACATGAGTAATGAAGACCAGCTGAGAGTTATCAAAGCGAGCCTCGTACACGATCAGCACCGCTAATCGAGCAAGGACAACAGCCACCATAAATATGAGAATGGGGAACCGAGCCATCCGCGGGAGGAGCACTGTCATGATCTCCAAGTAAGCAATCTCGGTGATGAATTGAGATATAGTGATACATATTCGGTAGGCAGTATTATTATACAACACCTGGTGTATCTGGTACATATCAAGCCGATCCTGATAGTATTCTCTGGAGGCGCCATCCGTTACCCGGCACACTAAGATGGTCATGGTGATAGCGAAGAACAACGTCGCCACCTGGGCGATCAACGGTTTCCGCTTTTGTGGAGGAGACAACACAAGCAACAACGTAAGCATCCACGCCAGCGCACATGCTCCCAGAATAGTGAAGAGAAGGGCGACAAAGGTGTCGCCGTTGCCCACTTGGTTGTAGCCCAGATAGCCCATGGCGAGTACCTGGGACGCCTTGGTGATGTTGCTTTGGGCGAAGTAATGTTTCATCGTGTCCATCAGGCAGTTGGTGACAAAATAGCCCGGTAACACGGTGCCAAACAGCGCCTGCTTCGCCTTGAACGTGCCCGCCTGAAGACCGTACACATCGCACAGGGCGAGGAAGGTTCGGTTTATCCCCGGGAGAAGTCCCTGAGCCGGATCGGTATCCATGGGCGGCAAGCCGTGGTGGGCTAAGACGGAGTCGTTGGTGTGATGAATCTTGGCTATATCCAATGGCAGGAGGTGGTTGCCTCGCATCACGTGATGCACAACCGTTTGGTAGTGAGGTGGCAGTGGTGCTAGTTCAACTCTCACCTGGGGAGGAGAGGAGAGATTCCGGAGGTGCAGGCAGCTAAAGCCACACCCAACAGAAATTAATGGCATATTCAAACTAGAGATTTTGGTCGATAATATGGATATATTTGGTGGTGTTGTAGGCGATGTTAACTTGGTGCCAAGAATTTGGTATGCTGGGTGACAGCGGTAACTAATGCGGAAAGGCAGTAGTACCCGATAGCGGCATGCGCCCGACGTCAGCAGTCGAGTTTGACCTGTTAGCCATCTCGTCCTCATTAACAGGACGTGGTTTACGGGGCCTATCAAATTTTTACTGTCGGAGGGGAGAGGCCTAGGTTTGCTGGATAAGGAGAGGTTATGCTCAGGGCACGCAACCGAGATCCTATCCAACTGCTATATGCATTTAACCGTGTAAGAGCATAGGAAAGCGAGCGACAGACGACAACTCCGTAATTATAAATAAGCCTTCAGATAGAGGCCACTTTCAAACATGTCGCTTACCACCATTACCCTCGATCCTCCCATCGAGTGTCGCCGGACGCCGCCGCTCGTGCTTGTAGTGGCGGGCTCGGACAACTCGGGCGGGGCCGGCATCGAGGCCGACCTCAAGACGTTGACGGCGCACTCGGTGTACGGCCTCACCTGTATCGGGGCCATTACCGCTCAGAACACCCAGAAAGTTGATGGGTTTGATGCTACCAGTGATGCCCTTGTCCAGAAGATCTTTGATCTCAATTTTGACGACTTTGGCACCTCGGTCAAGGTGGTGAAGACGGGAATGTTGACCGGGGCCACGGTGCGGGCGTTGCACCAATTCCTCCCGAAATACCCAGACACCAAGCTCTTGGTGGATCCGGTGATGATTGCCACCACCGGAGGCAAGTTATTCGACGATGAGTCGATGCAATTGGCGGTGGACTCGGTGATGAAGCAAGCGTACCTCATCACTCCGAACTTCCCCGAGGCCGAGGCGCTTGCGAAATTGACCGGTGTCAGCTACGACAAAGTCGACAGCCAGGAGAAGTTTGTCGAGCTTGCCCAGAAATTGCGCCAGAGACTCGGGTGCCAGAACCTTTTCCTTAAAGGTGGCCACATCCCCTGGGGGGACAGGCTCACTGATGTCTTGGTGACTGCGAATAACGACGTGGTGGTGTACGAAAGTGGCTATATTGACACCAAAGACACTCACGGCACCGGGTGTACGCTTGCCAGTGCCATCGCTGCTAACTTAGCTAAGGATGTCGAGTTGAAACAGGCGATTGCTAATGCCATTGGCTATGTCCACCAAGCCATGGTGAGTGGTACTAAGCTTGGCAAGGGTAACGGTCCCCTTTACCATTATATCAAGCCGCCGGTGGTGAAGTTGGTGGCGCCAGTGAAGCCTTTGCTGTTGAAGCAACTGGCCTACGACTACTTCAAGGCGCAGGCGGGTGATCTCTGGATTCAGTACACTCAGCACCCTTTCCTCAAATTGTTAGCCACCAACCAGCTTCCTGACCATCAATTCGTGTACTATTTGACTCAGGATTATTTCTACCTTATCAACTACGGTCAAGTACACGGGCTAGCCGCGGCTCGGGCCCCTAATGAAGACCAGGTTTTCGCTCAAGGGACAATCTTAAACAACATTGGTGAGGAAATGAAGCGTCACAAGCATAAGATGAAGACCACTTATGGTATTGATTATGCCAACAATACAATCCCCAAGGGTAAAGCGTGCCGTGAGTATTGTGACTACCTTCTCTATGTAGGTGACAACTTTGACTTTGCCCTGATTAAGATTGCCGTGGCACCGTGTCTCCATGGTTATTATGAAGCTGGCCAGTACGCTCTGCTGTTGGTAGTACCGGACCTTAAACCAGTGTATAAGGACTGGATTGGTGACTACACCAGTGACTGGTACGGTGAGGCTCACCAGCAAGGTCAGCAAGTATTGCAAGACATCGCTAAGCTGATTGACTCCGAGGCGAAGTTAGCCGAATTGGTGGAGATGTTTAACCGGGTGACTCAATTGGAAATCAACTTCTGGAGCGAGTGTTTGGAAATTGAAAAGTAGACAAAAACACTTTTTAAAATAGGGAAATTGAATCAGGTATATACATATATAGCAACTAATGTGTGATTTTGGCAATGACAACGATGACAAGATCATAAAACTATTTTCAGTTGTAACCTACATTTAGGTTTTGCAGTCGAAATTTCATGCTAATCTTACCGGTATCGGCCGTGTCACGTGCCAGCAATTTGGCTGAGGCCTATCACATTAATTTTGTGCTGGTCGCACTCAGCGACGCTCAGGTCCCAACCTAGCAAGGTTGGTGAAAATCTCGCTTTACCTCGAAATTTTGAAACATACAGCAATGAATACTCTCTAAAGCACCTCTCAATCACATAACGTCAATTGTTAGCCTCATCGCTAGCTTTCTCGTATCATTTCCACCCTGGGAAGTCTCGGCTTTGGCTGGTGCGGGCGCGCGCACAGCCGACCCCATTTGTCACCGCCGCCGCCACCTTTTAGCCCTCACCATGTATAACCCGTACCAGGGGTTCCAGCCTCAACAAACGGGGTACGGCTTCCAGCAGCCGCAGCAGCCCCCGACCAATGGATTCCAGCAACAGCAGCCAGGGCCGCAACCGGGTTACTACTCGCCCATGGGCCAACAACCGCCCCAGCAGCAGCAGCCCCAGCAGACGGGATTCTACTCGCAAATGCCCCAGCAGCAGCTCTACCCGTCGCAAACGTTCCAGCCGGCTCCGCAGATGCCGCAGATGACCCAGCCGCTCCAATCGCAGCCCACGGGTTACCTTGTCACCCAGCCGACGGGATTTGCCGGCGCTCCTTCAGTGGTGGAGAACGTCGATCTTAAGATCCCGGCGATGCGGTTATCGTTCATCACCGCCGAGGACCAGAAGAAGTTCGAGCACTTGTTTCGTACTGCTGTGCCTAAGGGTGAATCGACGATCTCCGGGGAGCTGGCGCTGAACATTATGTTGCGCTCCGGTTTGACTCCAGTGACGTTGGCCGACATCTGGTCGTTGCTGGACTTCAGCAAGCTGGGGTCGCTTCTTTTCCCCGAGTTTGCCCTTGCCCTCCACTTGTGCTCGATCGCCAAGCGGGGGGAATCAGTTCCTAGAGTGGTTCCCGAGCGGTGGGCCAACGAAGTGCGGTCGTTCATCGATGCCATCGCGTTGACGGTGCCCGATGACCCTCTGGTGAAGTTGGCCAACACTCCCTTCGCTCAATTTGCCCCGCCCAAGCCTGACCCTAACGACTGGATGAACACCGGTATGCCTCAGCAACAGTACCAGCCCACCGGGTTCGGCGGCCAACAAGCGTTTGGTGGCGGCAGCATTGCTCCTCAACGTACTGGAGGCGGCTCGTTGGTGCCGGTGCCCCCTCAACGCACCGGTGGCTTGATCCCTGTACAAAAGACGGGTCCCCTCGTTGCTCAGGGAACTGGCTACCAGCCTTTACAATCTCAAGGAACGGGGTTCAACGGGTTCCAACCTCAAGGGACCGGGTTCCAGCCGCAATTACAGGCTCAGGGTACCGGATTTCAAGCCCAGGGTACTGGTTACCAGCCCCAGCTCCAGGCGCAAGGTACCGGGTTCAATAAGCCTCTCCAAGCTCAAGGCACCGGCTACCAACCGCTGGCTCCTCTCCAAGCCCAGGGAACTGGTTACCAACCGTTGCAGGCCCAGGGAACTGGTTACCAACCGTTGCAAGCTCAGGGCACTGGTTACCAACCTCTTCAAGCTCAAGGCACCGGCTATCTCCAACCTCAATCTACGGGTTACCTTCAGGCTATGCCCACCGGTAAGCCCGGTCAGTGGGGGTTTGTCAACACTCCCACCGGCGGTATCCCTGGTTTGGGCGCCATGCAACTGCACTTTTTGCCCAATGCTCCCACGGGTAACTTGCAACAAGCCATGGGTACCAACCAGACTCAGCAGCTGAACATTCCTTGGGCCATCACCAAGCAAGAGAAACAAATCTACGACGGTATCTTCGCTGCTTGGGACAACCGTAAGGGCTACATCCAAGGCGAAGACGCTCTCAAGATCTTTGGTAAGCTGGGTCTCGCTCGTCCTGACTTGGAGTCGATTTGGAACTTGGCCGACACTCTGGACCGCGGCAAGCTCAACAAGGACGAGTTTGCGGTGGCGATGCATTTGGTGTACCGTCGTCTCAACGGTCACGATATTCCTTTAAGATTGCCGCCTGAACTCGTGCCGCCTTCGAACAAGAACTTTGAGGACCTGGTAAACCAACTTAAGAACTCGCTCAAGGGAGGTACCAAGCTGAACTCCAGTTCCCCCGCCCCTCGGGGTCTGGGGCTGCGATACAAAAACAACGATGACGACTTAGGCTACGTCCTGACCAATCGTCACCGTAAGCAAGCTCCGGCTACTGGTCCCAAGCCGACGCAATCGCGCGCCGACATGCTGGTGGCTGACCTCAAAAAGGCGATCAGAGAGAAGCAGATTTTGCTTGATGCCCTTGATGTTGAGGATGCTGACTCGCAAGTGACCAAGGACCGCTATGCTCTGGCTCACCAGGACGAAATAGCCGTGCTTAAGATGAAGATTAAGGAGGTGCAAGCCCAATTGGACAATTACGCGTCGCTGAACCCAGGGATCGAGCTGAAGCAACAACTTAACCAACGTCTCAACTCGTTGGTGTTGGAGAAGATGCCTTACCTCGTCAACAGCATCAACAAGACAACTCGTGAACTTGCTCAAGCCAAGGTGGAATTGGCCAAGCTCAGAATTGAGAAGGAAAACCCTGGGTGGAAGCCTGGTGACGACGAGTCGCTGATTGTCGGCACTGGTCCCAACGGCGAAGTGACGGAGCTGGACCGTCGTAAGTGGAAGCTGAGACAATTACTCCGTCAACGGATGGCGGCATTCACCGGTGGTAGTGCCCAGGACGATGGTAACAGTGATGCCGACAACAAGTTCAAGTCCGAAGTTGACAACATTAACCGCGATCAAACCCAACATCAACAACAAATCAGCGATATCGAGTCGCTGATCAAGGAGTTGGAAGACGGGTGCCTGGCATCGTTGAAGTTGACCACTCAAGAGCAACTGGACTACCAAAGATTCGAGTTGGGCGATGGCATCGCTGCCGATGTCAAGTCGTTCATTGAGGAAATCAAGCGCTACCTGGCTAAGCCGGCGCCTTCGTCGCAATCGCAACCGGCTGCTGTTGATGCTCTTCATCAACATAATGATTCACGGCCACTGTTGACGGCGGCATCGTCGACTTCGTCGGTGCTGTCGGCGACTAAGGAAGCGCCTAAATATTCTACCCCTGAAGAGCGTAAGGCCTACATCAAGGCGCAAGCGAAGAAGAAGGTCCAGGAACGGTTGGCGTCGATGGGGTTACTGTCGAAGCTGTCGTCGGAACCGGCGCCTGCGACTAAGGAACCGCCCGCTAAGGAGGCCTCGGCCCCTGTTGCTCCCCAGCCTCGGGCTCATAAGGAACCGGCTAAGGTTCCAGAAAAGCCCAAACCTTCAATTACTCCCCACCAACTGGCGGCCGCTCCCGCCGCTCCCGCCCAACCGGCCCCGCCTACCACTCAACAGCCTAAGGTGGCCGCTCCTCCTGCGGCGGCTAAGCCTACTGAAGATGAATCTTCTGACGATGACGATGACCCTGAATACGCTGCTTTGCTTCAAAAGAAGAAGGAAATGGAAGCTAAGGAGCGTCAACGTGAACAGCGTCGTCGGGAAAAGGAAGAGCGCAAGGCCAAGCTCAAGCAAGAAATGGCCGCTTACGAGCTGAAGCAGAAGGAAGAAAGCAGCGACGATGAGGTGCCGCCACCTCCGCCTACCTATCTGGCGTCGTCGTCGTCGACTCCAGCTGCTCCTAAGGCTGCTCCGGCGCCTGCTGAAGCTGCCAAGCCTGCTGAGGTTCCCAAGCAAGCTGAAGCTCCTCCTGCGCTGACCACTACCAGTGCTACTCCTGCAGCTCCGGTGATCCCTCCCCTGTTGGCGGCGGTGGAATCTCAACACAAGAGTACCAACCCGTTTGCCAAGATGAGTGCCAACAATGCCGCGCCCCTGTCGCAGCAGTTCTTTAAACTGGAATCGAAAACGCCGTCGTTTGACCAACAAAAAGCCGACCAGCAACGGCAAATGCAACGTGGTCTCTCCAACAACGACGACTGGAGTGACGAAGAAAACGACGACAGTGACGACGACATCCCCAACCGCCAAGGGGCGTCACAATTGGCGCTGTTGTTGTTCGGTGGCATGTCGAAGCCGCCCCTGCGTTCCGCCACTGGCGACGTTGCCGTGAAGGAGGAGACCGACGACGACATCTTGAAGCTGTTTGGCAACAACGAGCCGGCTCCTACTGAAGCTCCTCAAGCTGTGCCTACGGCTGTGCCTACGGCTGTGCCTACGGCTGTGCCTACGGCTGTTCCCACGGCTGTTCCCACGGCTGTTCCCACGGCTGTTCCCACGGCACCTCCGGAAGCGCCTCCCATGGCTCCTCCTGCCCCTGTGGAAGCCCCTCCTGCTCCCGTGGAAGCACCGCAACAAGTGCCTCCTCCCGTACCCCAGGCTCCGGAACAGCCCCCGGCACCTTCGGCGCTGATCCCCGCTGTTCTTGAGCAACGGTCTGACGATGAATGGGGGGCTCGCTCAGAAGACAGCGACGACGATTTGTACACCACTCCTCCTCAACAAGCCGCTGGGGGAGTACCGCAACCGCCGCAGTTGTTTGACGGTGATATTGCGAAGCTGTTAGGCCAGGAGGCGCCCCCGATCCCTAACGGTGTGCCTCCTCCACCTCTTCCTACCGAGCTGGTACCTCCTCCTCCGCCAGTGTCACAAATGCCACCTCCTCCCCCTACTGAAGGCGTGCCTCCTCCTCCTCCCTTGCCGACGGCGCTGGTACCGCCTCCTCCGCCTATGGGAGGTGCTCCTCCACCCCCTCCTCCTCCTCCCTCCTTGGGAATCCCCCCGCCTCAACCTGATCTCGGTGGCGCTGGTGCTGGTGGCGCTGGCGCTGGCGGTGCTCCCCAGGACATCTCGGCGTTATTGGGGCTGATCCAGATGGGGACTACGTTGAAAAAGGTTGACAAAAGCCAGCAGCGAATCGCCGACGGCGCCACTGTGGGCCGTGTCATCTAAGTTATAAATATAGATATTGTATGATTGCACATCATCTACTGTTTGACTGACCTAGCCATCTATAACTCTCTACTCCTCAGTTTCAGTGAAATATCTTACTTATGAATGAGCCAGGGAACTCTATACATGAAAAGACGGATATTGTAAGATAGTGATCCACATTCGAGCTATTACTGACTTTTTTTTTTTCATAATGAATTTGCTTTTATTTTAAAGTGATCACAATCTTAGTGGTGTTACCTTCGCACTCAGAGACCAGTGCGGCGATGATTTGTTTACCTGCCCACCACGGTAATCACATCGCAAGGTAAACGCAGACAAGATGACTATCAATGATCAGATTAATTTAACGTAAGCTATGGTACACTAAACCCAACATTCCCCCATTATTCAATGCCTTTTGCCTTCCATCTCTTCCCCTCCTCTCTCTACTCTCCCTTAGACCCACCACTTGGTTTTTCGCACTTCTCATCACCACTCATCCTCCAAATCGCCTTCACCATGAACTTCGGGGCCAAGAAGGACGACTCGGCCAATGTGTTTGGTGGGGCCCAGAACAACGGTGCTGCTGCCAACCAAGGGGCGCCGAAGCCGGCATTCTCCTTTGGCTCGCTGACACCAGCGGCGGGGGGTCTGTCGTTTCTGTTTGGCGGTGCTCTGAACACCAACAACACCGCCAGCGGCAACACCGGCGCCGCTCCCTCGTTCACGTTTGGTGCTAACAAATCTGCTGCTACTGGTGGTAACGACAATGCCTCCAAGCCGGCGTTTGGCGCTGCCAGCGGCGGGTTTGGCTCGCAAGCCTCGAACTCGAACGCCGGCGGTATCTTCGGCAACAAGCCTGCCGCTTCTGGTCAGTCGTTGTTTGGTAACAAGGATGGTGCTGCCTCCACTTTTGGCAGCAATCAGGCCGACAAGCCGGCGGCACCGCTGTTTTCGCTCGGCGGCCAATCTAACGATAAACCCGCTACCGGTGGCATTTTCGGTGCTAAACCTGATGGACAACAACAAGCCTCGTCAGGATTCTCATTCGGGACGAAGGCGGCAGACAAGCCGGCCACTACTGGGGGATTTTCTTTTGGGGCTAAGGCTGACGATAAACCCGCTGCTTCAGGGGGTCTTTTCGGGGGCGCTGCTACCACTGGTGACAAACCCGCAGCCTCAGGAGGGTTGTTTGGTGCCAAATCAGATGATAAGCCTGCTCTGACTGGGGGTTTGTTTGGTGCAAAACCTGCTGATAAGCCGGCTACCACTGGCGGGTTATTCGGTAACAAGCCTGCGGATTCCACCGCCAACAAGCCTGCTGCTGGCTTTTCCTTTGGTACCAAAGCTGATGACAAGAAGGACGATAAGCCTGCTGGCATCTCTTTTGGTACTAACACTACTGATAAGCCTGCTGGCCTCAATTTTGGCGCTCCTAAAGCTGATGAAAAGAAGGATGATAAGCCCGCAGGGTTCGGGTTTGGTGCCAACACTGCTGACAAGCCGCTGACTGGTATTTCTTTTGGTGCTAAAATCGACGCCAATGCCAGTAAACCTGCTGCTGGTGGGTTCTCTTTTGGCGCCAAGACTGACGACAAGGCTGCTGAAAAGCCTGCCACTACTGGTGGATTCTCGTTTGGCGCTAAGACTGATGCCAATAAGGATAAGCCTGCCACCCTCTCTTTTGGTGCTAAGACCGATGACAAGAAGGACGATCAACCCGCTACTAGTGGTTTCTCCTTTGGCGCTAAAAAGGACGACAAGCCCGCGGGCGGTTTGTTTGGTGCCAAGGCTGACGACAAAAAGGACGACAAGCCCGCCACTGGAGGGTTCTCGTTTGGTGCTAAGAAGGATGACAAGAAGGACGACAAACCGGCTGGCGGCTTATTCGGGGCTAAGACCGACGAAAAGAAGGACGACAAGCCTGCTGCTGGTGGTTTCTCGTTTGGGGCGAAGAAGGATGACGCCAAGAAGGACGAAAAGTCTGCCACCACCACCACCACTGCTAGCGAGCCCGCTAAGGCTGAAGTGAACTTACAGCCGACTAAGATCCAGCCCACCAAGATCCTGATTGATAACAAGACCATCGACGACCTCATCACCAAGTGGCTGAAGCAATTGACTGAGACCCAAGGCATTTTCGAAAACTATACTACCAAGGTCCAAGAATGGGACCAACAGCTTGTGAAGCTGGGGGACGCCATCGTTGCCCTTGACGCCGATGCCAATGCTGCTGAAGCGTTGCAAGGTAAGATTGACCAGCAACTCCGATTTGTGGAATCGCAACAAGACGAATTGGACAAATTATTAGACAACTACGAACAGCAAGCGGACCAGCTTCTCAGCACTGTCGACTTTTCGTCGACGGAGGCCGGTGGTGCCAATGCTGGCCCTACCAACCAATTGTCGCTTACGGACAAATTGAGACAGCGGGCGTACCACAATGCCGAGATGCTTGACGAGCGCCTCGACACCTTGGGTGACAACTTGTCTGCCTTAGTCAGCGAGATCAACTCGGTGCTGGACGTATTCAACAAGCTGCTTATCCTCGACTTTGCCAACGCCCAGGGGCTGAACCCGACCAAGGACGGCAGCCCCATCGAGGAGATCATCAAGTTGTTGAACTTGCACCTCGACAACATGAAGTACATCGAGGGCGCCGAGCTGACGTTGAAGGAGAAGTTGGCTACCTACAAGAAGAAGTAATATTTCAGGACTGGTTTTTTAATGAGAATACATGAGAACGCATACGCCTCGGAGTTCAGCTGCCGCCGAGCGTGCTCCAAGCCAGAGCTTCCCCCCTTTGTGTGCCTTGCACCGCACTTGCCACATTGACGTAGACACACACACAGGCGAGCACTACCATTACCAGCCGCCCCTCTTATCGCACACTCCACCTTGACCTCAGTTTAAGCCGAGGCCCTACCCCTCAATTTTTACGTCATTGCTCGTCACTAACTAAATAAGATGTAGATACCACCCCACCCATTGTAGCGGTTGAAGTCACAGGCTGTTGTGATGCTTTCGGAGTAGCCCATTACTGCCCGCCGCCCACTTGAGGGCAAAACCCCACGCCGACACCCCAATCACATGGGACACGACTGCGATACCCCACGCATATGATAATCCGGGGCGCGCGCGCACGCCGTATTTTACCTGGCAAGTTTCCCCCTCTGAGGCCCCAAACGCCAGTGCAAAAACCCTCCGAGCCATACTCTTCCCCTTAGTCCAATCCGGATACGTGTTAACCGTCAACCTTGCCAGTATGAGTCCTCCGATTTTCCAGATCATCAAGCTTTTGTTTGACCCCGACGTGCTGAAGAAGCTCATTCTCCAGATGGCGTTGAAGCAGATCAAGATGATCGGCTACGCCAAGGTGTTGGCGGCGCTCTTGGGCGCGGCCATGGTCGGGGTGCTGAGTTTCATCAAGATCCCCCAGATCCAAAAGATCGTCAACCCTAAGCTCTTGCTGCAACGGGTGCTGGTGGCCAACGGTTTGTCGCTCCAGCTGCTCACGTTGGAGACTTTCAACCAATTGGTCCACGTGGTGTTCAACAAGCAGAACAACGTCCCCTTCATCAACTACGGCGAGTCGTTCTTTTTGGGCATCCAGAACGCCATCCTCATCTTACTTGTGTCGTTCTACCGTAACAAGCAAGTGGCGGAAATTGAGAGATTGCCCACGGCGCAAAAGCTTGCCGCTGCCGTCGAAACCGTGGGTAAGCCCGCCGCGATCATGGCCGCCGTCGCCATCTTCATCAACAAGATCGCGCCTCCCGGCCTCGTCGACGCCTTGGAAGTGCTCAACATCCCCATCTCGGTGTTGGCTAAGGTGCCGCAAATCCAAAACAACCTGCGTCTCAAGCTGACGGCCCACTTGAGCGACGTCACCATCCGTGCCAACTTGTTGGGGCTGGTGATCCGTGTCTACACCACGTTGACCCTGCTCTCGGGCAAGAAGCAACGCGGTAAGGACCTCCGTTCCGACTACGTGTTACTTGCCGGCTACTTGCTGAGCTTGGCGTTGAATGGTACCTTGGTGTACCAATCGGTCATCTACAAGGACAACAAGCCTAAGGACGCTGCCGCCGGCGGTGACGCTAAAACGCAGTAAACGACAATGACGCGATAATATCAATATGTGTAATTGATGATTAGACGATAATCCTTGAAGTAGAGCTAATGCTATTACGCTATTTATCGTATTCCAGTTAGTTTGCTGTCCCATATATCCCTCGCTGTCTTCTCCTAATTCATTGTCTTATCAATTTCAGATTTAGGGTTTAGATGGCCACGAGTTGAAAAATTGACTCAAACCTAAATTCGGCCGATGAATGTAGTAATAGGTCGCATTGTATTGGCGTAATGATCTGGACCCTTAATGGACACTATCATCCGATAATAATTAATAAGCAATTGTCGCTGAACAAATACAATGGATGTCAATTCAAAATCATGTCCGAATGTTTTATCCAGTGACACGCCTTTAAATTTGTTACCTGTGGTTGTGATTGCAACCAATATTGACTGATCACGTTCGCTATCATGTGTTCCAGCGGACCCCGCCGGTTGCGAGCACGCGCTCGCCATCGAAGATCACCTTTAAAAAACTCAACGACTCACTCGAAAAGTTTCCCCCACAAAAAAACCCCTAAATCTCATGGTCCACACCGCCGAGTACCTTCCTGCCACCGGCACCGACATCGGGCTGGTGCTCCAGGGCGGCTACAACCACGAGTTGACCCGCGAATGGCAGTCTGAACGCCATCTCTCCAAGTCGATGTTCATCTTTCCCCTCTTTATTTCCGACAACGACGACGACGACACTGCTATTGAGCTGTTGCCCAACATCCGCCGGTTTGGTCTTAATAAGTTGGTCCCTTACGTTGAGCTGCTTGTGGCTAAGGGTTTACGGCTGGTGATTTTATTCGGGGTGCCTCTTGCCCCCGGTGTTAAAGACCCGGTGGGTACTGCCGCTGACGACCCTAATGGTCCCGTGATCCGGGCGATTAAGGCGCTTAAACAGGCGTTCCCGGATTTGTACATTGTCTGCGACGTGTGTTTGTGTGAATACACCTCGCACGGCCACTGCGGTGAGTTATACGAAGACGGCACGTTGAATCGGGAAAAGCTGGCGTTGCGGATCGCTCAGGTGGCGGTGAACTACGCCAAGGCCGGTGCTAACTGTGTGGCGCCGCTGGATATGATCGACGGGCGTATTCGTGACATCAAGCGGGGTTTGATCGACGCCGAATTGGCCCACAAGTGTATGGTGATGCTGTACGCGGCCAAGTTCTCCGGTAGCTTGTACGGTCCCTTCCGTGATGCTGCCTGTCTGGCTCCGTCTCAAGGTGACCGTCGGTGCTACCAGTTGCCTCCTGGGGCTACCGGTTTAGCGAGACGGGCCCTCCGTCGTGATATGGCTGAAGGTACTGATGCCATTATTGTGAAGCCGTCGACTTTCTTTTTGGACATTATCTCCGAGGCTGCCCGCATCTGTGAGGACTACCCCATCTGTGCCTACCACGTCAGTGGCGAGTACGCGATGTTGCACGCTGCCGCAGAGAAGGGCGTTGTCGACCTTAAGGCGATTGCCTTTGAGTCGCACCAAGGGTTGTTGCGTGCCGGGGCCCGGCTCATCATCTCCTACTTCACTCCTGAGTTCCTCGAGTGGTTACCGAACTAATCGGCGTAATAGTTAATAATTTAACGAGATATGATATATACGGATATAGTGATGATAAACGAGCAGCTGGGGATGACGGGCTGACACAATAATGAAAATGTTCACACTGAAGGGGTGAGGCTGACACCATAGTGGAAATGTTCACGCCGGAAGCGGCGCCGGCGCCGCCGCCTGCTTTTGGGGCAGTTGCGGCTCGTGTGTAGGCGGTTGTGGAAGCAGCTGGGGCTCCAGTTCGGGGGCATCGGGCATCGCCACTTTGGTAGGTGGAGCCACCGAAGTCTTAGTCGGGGGGTTAGCTTCACGCTCAAGCGCGGCAAGCTCGTCTTCAACATCATAATCGAAACCACCAAGGCCAAGGGCGTCGGTGACTTCCGCGGTTCTGATTTGCTCGTCATTCATGGTATCCATGATTTCGTCGACCTTCTCCACACTCACTTGCAGGTTGAGTTCCTTAAGTACTTGGTTACCTTGTTGGAGCGAGTCCATCACTTCCTTCTCCACCAATTTGAACTCGATGGTGCCAATTAACCCTTCGATAGTCTCAAGCTGGCCTTGTACTTTAGTGAGCATATCCAGTTGTTGACGTTTGAGCTTCAAATAGAATTTGGCCCGCTGGGGATCGTTAGCCGCCACCGCCAGTTTGGCGAGGTCGGTGTCGTGGGCGATGGCAAACGTCACCTTTTTCTGGTGCTGTTTGAGGGCATCACGCTGCTTCTTGAGCTGGAGAATGGCCCGGTCCTGTTTGGTGATCAGCGACGACGTGGAGTTCCCCATACTCTGTGGCGGCGGTTATCGTGATTTGAGGCTAGCGCCGCAAGCGAGGGCTTCGGGTCATGTGACCAGGTACTCGATGATGACTACCAGGGACACATAACCGGAGATCAACACCGATCGCCACTGACCTTGAAATAGGTCTAAATCATTAATTAGATATTTGAATTTTTTTCATTGTATTGAGTAATATCCAAACAATTGCTTGTTTCATTCCCAGTTCCAATGTCACGCACTAATTTCTCAATGAGGGGTGATTAGATTCTCGTCTGCTATTGTTCGCGAGTACCCAAACACAAACACTTAACATGCCACCACCACCTCTACATTCCCCTAATAGAAAAGACCTACTCTGCTAGATCGCCCTATCTATGTCTCAGATGATTTTCCGAGGCTGTTGTGCCCTAGTTGCCCCGGCATCGACCTCCTGCACGCCATCGTTCCGCATTGGGAACAAACATCAACACGACGTCTCCAGTAGTGCAGGGTGTAAACTCTTAGGTGCGATCCATCGTTGACATCGACACCCACCCCCTCGACCCTAGTCCCTCTTTGGAATTCAACTTGCGGTTACGCCTGCGCCACCTTTATACCCGTCCCATCGCTAGTTGTTGTCATCTGCTGATCAATGTCGGGGGTTCCTACTAAGCGCAAGCGGCTCCAGGACATGAGTCCCAACGTCCAGCGGGTGCTGAAGGCGACGAACCCGATGCTCCTACCGCCGCCGTCGCTGCGCTCTCAGCTGTTCCAAGGGTACCCCCACGGGCTGCCCAAGGCGAAGTTGCGGCGCACGGCGCTGTTGACGTTGGGCGACTCCCAGTCGTTGGACCGGTTCATCCCTAGCCGACATAATCTGACCACCGGCAAGTTGGAGCTGACGACGGAGGCGCCCCACCCTAACGCCCTGCCCCGTACTCACATCCAGGTGCAAACGCTGAAGATCTACCAGCGCCATGTCGCCGAAGCCTGCGGCCTCGACATGAACTCTCGCGTGCTTTTATACCAACCGTTGCCGCCGGAACGGCGCAAGCCGCACCTGCTCTTCAACTTTGAGCAGCTGTTGGCGTCGCGGGCGCCGGCGCTGGCGATCAAGCCCGCCGCCGCCTACCGGCGGGCGAAGAAAATCCCCACTGCCCCTGAACGGGTGTTGGACGCCCCGGGGCTCATTGACGACTTCTACCTTAATCTTTTGGCATGGTCGCTGACCAACTTACTTGCCATTGGCCTCGAGGACTCGGTGTACGTGTGGAACGCGCTGACGGGGCTGGTGGGCATGCTCTGCGAGCTGGCAAACAAATCGATGGTGACGTCGTTGCGGTGGCTGGACGACGGTCTGTACATCAGTGTCGGCAAGGACGATGGGCTGATCGAGATCTGGGACGTCGACACCTCCGCCAAGTTGCGCACGCTCCAGTTTGGCCACGCCACCCGCATCGCCGCCCAGCTGTGGCTGAAGCATGTGTTGACGCTGGGGCTGAGAGTGGGCACCATCAGCCACCTGGACGTCCGTGTCGCCTCCCATCTTAGCGCCGAGCACAAAGTGCACCGCGCCGAAGTGTGCGGTATTGAGTACCGCCCCGACGGCCAACAGTGGGCGCTGGGGGGCAACGACAACCTTGTCGCCATCTGGGACGCCCGCAACTCGACGTCGCCTGCATTTCAAAAGACCAACCACAAGGCGGCGGTGAAGGCGTTGCTGTGGTGCCCGTACCAGCTGCTGCTCCTAGCCACTGGTGGCGGGTCGCTGGACAAGGCGATCCACTTCTGGAATACCACGCTGGGCGCCCGCGTCAACACAATTGAGACCGACCTGCAGATTCTGTCGCTCAACTGGGGGTACGCCGACGGCATCGGCATGGAAATTGTCGCGACCCACGGCTTCCCCACCAACAACATCTCTCTCTTTCAATACCCCACCCTCCAGAAGACGGGCGAGATTGTCCGCGCCCACGACTCGCGTCTTCTCGCCGGGTGCCTCAGTCCCGACCAGTTGACGTTGGCGACGGTGGCGGGCGACGAGAACTTAAAGTTCTGGTCGTTGTTCGACTTGGCCAAGCGCCGCGCCGGCGCCCGCGACGAGGACAAGGAAAACAAGGAAGAGCCCATCGAAAATTATATGGCGTTCCGCTGACCTTGCATATTTTTAGTAATGCTAATGACTCCCCTAAACTTAAACAGTTGTAGCCCCCGTATTACCTGTGGCGCACCGGCGAAGCCGCGCCTCCTACGCGCACACGTTACTGCTCGCTTATCACACCCCACTCATGGACCGGCGCCCCGTCACCAACACCGTCATCGTCACCAATGTCGCCGACTACGACCCGCGCCTGATCCAGTTCCCCGAGGCGGTGCCGCTCGAGGTGGTGGCGCTCCCGAAATTCGGCCGCATCATCGTCATCTGCCCCAGCCATGAGGTCGCTGCCACCGTGAAGCAGGCGCTCATAGACCAGGGCTACGGCGCCGGCTACAGTCTCCAGGATAACAAATACACCGTGCTTGACGGCTACGATGTTGGTCCCGACGTTGACTACCTCGAGCTCCCACTGGAGGCGGGGTCGCGAAGGTTCCTTATCTCGCCGCCCCGGTCTCCCCCCGCTGAATGGAACCACTGGGACCGGGAGGAAGAAGAGCCCAACCAGGTGCCGTACCTGTCACAAGACCTTTCCCATCTATTATGGGAGAAGCTTGGTGGCGGCAAAGTACAAAAAATTCACGATAACGACGACGACAACGATACCACGCCTAAAGTTACTACTGAGGTGCTACTAGAGCAGCAACAGGGGGTGCCTGCCATTATTATTGATTCCGACGACCATGTGGTCAAGGACGACAAACGAACCACCATCCCCAAAACGTCATTGCCGTTATAGTCTATAGGTACATTTTAATAATTTTGGGATCGGGCCATTACTTATACACCGCCTTCCTTGTCTTTCTACTTGATCTTTTCGCGCTACCATGTGCTCGTCGCTGTCGCTGGCGCAGCGCCGCAGCCGGGAACCCAGTTTATGCGAAGGGCCCGCGCGATGAGATGAGGAAAGCACCATGGCCAAGAAGTCTGCTAAGTCGTCCACGACGGCGCCCAAAAAGGAAAAGGTGACGAAGAAGGCCAAAGGCTCGACCAAGAAGTCGTCCCCGGAACCCACTCCCGAACCGGAAACCGCCGCCGGCGAAGGCATCACCCGCGACCTCGCGGTGAAGGCCCTCAACGAAATCTCCAAGTTCCTCAAAAACAAGGAGGCGGAAGAAAAGCTGCTGGACAAGGCGCAGTTGTTTGACGATGCCGACGACGAGAACGACCCCAACGACGTGTTGTACTTGCAGCTTTCGAAGAAGAAGTACTTCTCTGAGAAGCCCCAGTTCAAGCCCGAGATAATACCCGTGACCCACCGCGTGATCCCTGAGGAAGTCAAGATCTGCTTGATCGTCAGAGACAGCGCCGTCGACAGAATCGAAGAGTTTGAGGCGTTGGACGTCGCCCAGATCGTCCCCGTCAAGGTGGTGAAGACCGACTACAAGAACTTTGAAAAGAGACGCGAATTTCTCAAACTGTACGACTTGTTCATCGTCGACGACGCCGTGCTCAATATTATGCCCCTGGCCCTCGGCAAGACCTTCTATAGAACCACTAAGTACCCGTTGCCCGTCAAGGCCGGTAAGGGTATCGTCATTGACGAGTTGAAGGAAAACATCAACCAATTGTTGCAGCTGACGTCATACATGCCCCCCATGGGCACCACGGTGCTGATCAAGATTGGCACGGTGAAAAACTTCGACCACGCCGCCGACAACTTGATGGATGTGGTCAAGACGCTCAACTTGGACGACTACAGATCGGTGATGGTGAAGTCCCGCCAGTCGCCGCTGTTGCCGTTGCACTACACCGAAAAGGTGTTCACTGAAGACGACATCGCCGAACACGACGTCGACGTCAAGAACAAGAAGGACGACGAGGCCTTTGAACGCAAGTTGTTGGCGTTGGGTACCACCGAAGATGTTGAAAAGGTGCTTGGTAAGAAGTTGAAGGCGAAGAAGGCCGACGACAAGAAGAAGTCGACTGCGTCGACTAAGGACGGTAAGGTGTCCAAGAAATAGGCATATAGTTATAATTGCACGTTAGAGTTAGACAACAAAAAAAACGAGGAGTATCACTTGATTTCATTGATCAAAAAGTCCACAGAGTGATGGGACAAAAACGAAGCCCACGCCCGGGTTCGAACCGGGGACCAACAGATTTGCAATCTGCTGCGCTACCACTGCGCCACGTGTGCTCACACGACTTCTCGTAAATTGCACTTTACCATACCAGCCAGAGAATATTGACATTTGTCCCTTTTTTGGGCCCCAGAACTGGCGCAAACCGACTAAAACTTATTTACATACACGCCGGTACCACAAATATGGCCATATGGACTCTATTAAGTTCGACAATAGTTCATAATGTTCTCATTTACTCAATTATACAGTCGTTACATATTCTCATTTTTTTTGGCCACAGGTGACGTAGTACACATCACTCATATGCCCATGGTATTTTTAAGCTCATTTTCAACCTTTTTGTGGTCAGCGGGGTTGGCGGCGGATTCGTAGATGGTGATGACGGGGTCCTTAGATAAGTCGGTGGCTTCGCCTCGAAGCTCAATGTAGTGAAGCCACGTTTCATCCTCATCACCGTAGGCATCTTCAATGAGCAATGTCAACTGTTGCACGCCACTAAATTTGTGGCGAGGCAAAAAATGCTCGACAAACGAGTCCTCGTCATCTACCAGCTCGGGCATGTCTTCCTCGTCATTGTACATTACGCCGACTCGAGGGTGCTCTAGAGTGTAGAGCGGCTTCTTATTGGTGTCGAAATCAATCTGTTTGTCATTTTTGTAAAGCTTAATATGACGAGGACAGTAGTCAGAACCGTTAGAACGAATGATGATGGAAAACAACTTTACCGAGCTATTCGTGAACGGAATGTTGATGATAAGCTGAGCATCAGCGTCGCTTTTAGTGACCGGCACCAACTTGTTGCGATCGGCGGGATTGCGGAACAAGTGGGCCAACTCCTCGGTGGGGTTGGCGAGGTTAAGGGCGGTGACACGATGGGTGTCAATTCGTGAGTGGAGGTTTTGTGAGGCGTTGGTAGGTAATGGAGGCGGAGCGTGGTCGTGTTCGTGTTGGCAGGACATTAGGTTTTGTAATCCTTGGTCAATTGGGAGAGGGTAGATTGTGCTCGATGTCTAAGCGGTAGGGATCGGGCTATCCCCTCGATATAAACGCTAATGCCCCGCGCTGCTAATCGAGGAGTGCATATAGTCGCGACGACTGAGTTGAGGTCATGGGGCCATTTAAGCGTGTCTATGTAAAATTGAGTCTAAAGTTTCTAAAAAAATCTAGTAGTTGCCAGCACTCTAGTAGTTTCCAGCAATGATGGCGCCTAGGCACACCACCATCACCAACCCGCCCCACACCGAGAGCCCCAACGCCGCGTTGCGGAGCGACAGAATGGCGTAGGTCTCGACGGGCAACTCGGAGCCAATCAACTTGTAACCGAAAAGCCCCGGTAAAATGAATGAAATGGCGGTGGATCCGGTTGCCCCAACCACGGCGAGCACTAACGCAAACAGGGTGATGGAAAGGGCAAGCGCATAGGCAGCGGCAAGCAAGAGGGAAGTGATGACGACGTAGGGCACGGCGGGGAAGGGCACCACCACTGCTTCCTTGGAACCACTAGCGTGTTCATCATCCACCAAGGGTTGAGTCTCGCCCGCTTCAGTTTCCGCAGGAGCAGCAGTTTGTTGGCTGCGAGTGGTAAGCCAGTAGTAGATGTTGTTGACGGAAATCCGCGCCGGGTGGAACATAAGCGGGAACAGAAAGGTTACCATCACCACAATGGCAGCACGAGCAATCGTGGTGATGGTCCCGGGAGGGTACAGCAAGATGACATTACCGTTTACAGAGTCGCCGAAGGTAAGGTAGCCGGAAAGACCCACTCCCACAAACAACACCGTCGACAACATGATGGCTAAGTTGATCAATTGGGAAAGGGCAGGCAAGCTCTTATCACTGGCTTCATTAATGATGCTGAACATGTTTTGGTGACCAGTATAGGCAAACACCAAGATGCTAAAGGTGGAAAACATCCCCGTGACCGATGGCGGCACCACCCACAGCACGGTACCTTCACGAGGAATGTCGCCCACCAAGAAGTGGCCAATAACCACAACGGCAAGGTAGAAAATCGCCAAAAGGCCGATGACAGAGGAGAACTTAAGCGAGTCCAAGTTGCGCAAGAATGAAAGGGGCACAATCACCAACGCACTGATACCAATCCAGAAGGTGCGAGTAGTATTGGCCACCACGGTGGGCATGAGGTCACCAATAAGTACAAGGTATGATAACGAGCACCCAAAGCATTGGACGGCAATGGCCATGTCAAACACCACCAGAAGCAGGGGATATGTAATCAGACACACGCTGAAAAACGACGCGTGGCCTCGGGGCACGTAGCGGGACACGTACGCCTGGAGGAAGAGGCCAAACCCGGAGGTGATGGCGGCGGCAAGGATGAGCCACACGCCACACAACACCCCGTCGGTGGCAAAGGCGTAGGGGATGGAAAGCATCCCTGCACCAATGATGGTCTTGGTGAGCGAGATCCCCAGCGACGTGGTGGAACTCATGGTATTAATTTCAATTAACTGTGGCGGGTTAGGTGTCAAACGGTGTATTATGAGAGAGAGCCACTGAAATCCAGACCGCCCTGCGTCACGTGACCTATAGGGGACGACAAAAAAAAAACGAGGATCTCAGGGTTTGTGTAACCGGTAGACACCTCGAGAGGTAATGATGGTAATGGCGTCTAAAAGTCACAAATGCAACAAAAGCTAGCACCGCTGTCAACCTGAGACCAGTCGGTTTTGTCCACTCGCCGCCACCTGCCGCAATTTGTCTCGGCGGCGACATCTTTTGCCCAATCTGTAATTAACCTTCAGGGTGACCGCCACAAAGAACTAATGTCGGCTGGCACCGTGTTCTTTTCTAACGACGTTCCAGCTTAGATTTATTCACCAAACACTTTTAGATATGTCATCACACTACTCACATCATGGTGGTTTTCAGGTGCCACTGTCTCGGATCCACCGAGCAATCATAGATTTTCCCCCTACGCCAACAGGCACCTAGACCGAGCAACTGAAGCCAAGCAGCAACGTTAGCGTCATGGGGCCAACACGAGGATTTTCACCGCCACCGAGCCCCCAAAAGAAACACGGTTATCGCCACGAACACGTCACTGGCGGCACCGGTCAATTGCCGCTGCTGTGATGTTTGTAGGTTGTCATTGCGATTGTCTCGGCCTCGAGGGACCGTTCCTGCCTGTGAACGCGCCACTCCTTGACGTCACTATTATAGCCCGCGCACGGGGATTTTCTCCACCGACCTAGTCTCGCCTTCCCCATTAGCCACCCACAGCCACTGCCAATGTCGAACGACGGCGAGTTTACCCGCACCCAGATCTTTGGCACCGTGTTCGAGATCACCAACCGGTACACCGACTTGAACCCCGTGGGGATGGGGGCGTTCGGGCTCGTGTGTCTGGCGGTGGACAAGTTGACCGGGCAGAACGTCGCTGTGAAGAAGATCATGAAGCCGTTTCTGACGGCAGTGCTTGCCAAGCGTACCTACCGTGAGCTCAAGTTGCTCAAGCACTTGAAGCACGAGAACTTGATCACCCTCGATGACATCTTTTTGCTGCCACTTGAGGACATCTACTTTGTCACCGAGCTCCAGGGGACCGACCTCCACCGATTGTTGACGCTGAGACCGCTAGAGAAGCAGTTTATCCAATACTTTACCTACCAGATCCTCCGGGGGCTCAAATACGTCCACCTGGCCGGGGTCATCCACCGCGACTTGAAGCCGTCTAATATCTTGATCAACGAGAACTGTGACCTCAAAATCTGTGACTTTGGGCTCGCCCGGATCCAGGACCCCCAGATGACCGGCTACGTGCTGACGCGGTACTACCGGGCTCCGGAAATCATGCTCACATGGCAGAAGTACGACACTGAGGTCGACTTGTGGTCGGTGGGGTGTATATTAGCCGAGATGATTGAGGGCAAGCCGCTCTTCCCCGGTAAGGACCACGTCCACCAGTTTTCTATCATCACCGAGTTGCTTGGGCTGCCGCCCCCCGACGTCATCGAGACCATCTGTCTGGAAAACACGTTGCGGTTTGTCCAGCTGTTGCCCCACAGGGAGCCGATCCCGTTCTCGGAGCGGTTCGCCCAGTGTACCCACGTCGAGCCCGACGCCGTCGACCTTTTGGCGAAGATGTTGGTGTTTGACCCGAAGAAGCGGATCCTGGCGGCGGAGGCGTTGCAGCACCCGTACATGGAGCCGTACCACGACCCCACCGACGAGCCCGTGTGCGAGACCAAGTTCGACTGGTCGTTCAACGACGCCAACTTGCCATTGGACTCGTGGCGGGTGATGATGTACTCGGAGATCTTGGACTTCCACCAGATCGCCGGCGTCAGCGAAGCGTCGCAACAGCAGATGCAAGTGCAAATGCAGAACCTACAACAAAAAGTGGAAAACTAGCTATAGATCTCGGACAATATATCGAAACTCTGCGTAAAAAATTGTACCCATTTTTAAGCCTCATTCGACCCCGTTCGCACCGCCCACTCGCTTCCATGCTCAAGCGAATCACCGACGACGTGGCCGTGCTGGTGACCCCACGCCAGGAACGAGACCTGCTTCAGTGTACGGTTACGTTCCAGTATACCGGCGGGGTGGCGTCGGCGCCGCTGGCGGCTGCCACCCCCGCGTCTCGAGGCTGGTTCTCGTGGGGCGGTGGTCACACTGACGCGGCGCCAGCCACAGCTAACGGCTCCGATTCCCACCACGGAGCCCGCCTCGTGCTTGGGCTGACCCAGTTCTTCGGGTACATGGTGGCGAAACCGGCGATTGAGGAGTTTTTGGGCGAGGACTACGACGACGACGATGCCGTCGAACACCACATGACCGCGAGCCAGTGGCTCAGTCTGCGACCGAAACCGCTCGTGGGGGGTAAGCTCGGCGGTATCCCCCACTTGGAGAACGCCGACGAGACCATCGCCGACGACGACCTCTATTTCGTGGCTGATCTCTTGCTTCCATTTAACTCCCGCGATCCGCAGCAGCCGGCCCACGATAAGAAGCGCCACGAAATCACCTACAAGGAGCTCTGTGAGGCGGTCTACCCGTTCCATTATACCCCGCAACAGTTACTTTTCACCGACGTCGAGCTCGGGTCGTCGGCGAAGTTCGCGGTGCTGTTCCCCATCCAAGACGTGTGGCCGCCAGCGTATAATTACCCCGGGTCGCTGTTTAGCATTAACTACGTGGTGGCGGTGCTGTTTCTGCTTGGTATGAAGAAATACACCAGTTACTTCCCCATACTGCTCAAATCGCCTCGCATTGGCGACCACCCCCGCTGGCTTCAGGCAATTGCGTTTAGTGACATCTATACGTTCAAAGAACGTCGGTCTAGCCATTCAGACGACGCTAAACAGAAATTTTTGAGTGATTTTGACAACTTGATCGACTCCGATGACCACACCGTCAGACTGCGTAAAAAGAGCATGGCGAGCATTTACAGCGGGGCCGAAGATGACGAGATCCCGGAAGGGTTCCATCCGCAGCTCCCACTGCATTTCAAAACGAGCTACCAGCTCCGAGTGAACAATACCGAGTTATGTCTGATCCACCTCACCAAGCCGTACTATCATGCTGGCGAGGACGCGGTGTATTGCATCACGCTTAATATGGACTCGCCGGTTAAAGTGATCGGCTACATGCTTCATCTAGAGTGTCAGGAGCTGTTTGCTGATGGGTTAGTCCGGGAGTACCCGGTGACAGGCAAGATTCAAACCAATACGCTTGCGATGGCTTTAGCTGGGGGTGATGATCTGAATGGATACATCAACATCCCCCGCTGGCTCACACACCAGTTCCAGCTGACCTTTGCCAACGTCGCCTACTACCTCGTGTTCAAATTCAACATCGCCGATCTTGATGACCACGACCCGGAGGACGTCGAGGGCAACGACCTAAAATTCCGGCTCAAGCTTGTGGTATTACCCTAACCGTTCTCGTATGTACACTAATTATAGACTATTGGCCGGTACCTCAACGGTGATGACAAAATCTCACAAAAACGGACATTGATCTTCCGACATCAAACTTAAAAATATCACCCCACAATTAAAGCAAACATGAACAGCCAAAGTGACATAAAATCAGTAAATAACCATAAAAAACTTCGTCGTTTTAAATAACGGTGTCGACGTATTGGGATGTAAGGTTTTGTGAAGGACGTCATTCCTGTATGCAGCCTGTCTCGGTTACATGACGTCGACGTTGTTAGTCATTGCCAGTGTCGTAGATGTGCTCTTCCCACGAACGTGAACAAGAGCTGGCGGTGATCTCCAGCGACGAGGTGTTCACCGAACAAGAAGCTGTCCCCTACGACGAGGACGACACCACTGCCCAACACATCTTCGTGGCCGATGACGATGAAGCCGATGGCGTACTCGACCACGGCGGTGTCCACTACCTGACCGCTCAGGAACGAGTGATGAAAGAGTATGAGCTTAAGCTCAAGGCAATGGAGGCATTGCACATTGACGAGGCCCAGGGCCCGGAAGTGGCCAAGGCAGCGAGGTCCAACAGCATCAAGCGGCGCCAGCTGTTCATCGACATGCCCGACTCCAACTTGCCGCTGAGATTGCGCTACCACGCCGCCATCGATGCCGCCCAGACCTCGGAACACATCAATGCCTTACCCGAAGATTATCCCAGTGACGAGCTTATCGAATTGTTCGCCAATGTGTCGCAGTGTCTTGAACTCCGTCACAAGTACTTGAAGAGTAGTGTACAGTTTGACGAGATGAAGAACCCTAAAAACCAACCGGGATGGGAGATCTACCCGCCGCCGCGGCCCCCTGCTTATAAGGACCAAAAGGATCTTGATACTGAGGCCAAGCGTGAGTGGAGACAAAAGAACCAATTCGACTTCAGCAAGTGTGAGATCCCCGATGACGATGAACGCTTCGAGTTTGGCATGAGCGACGAGGGGGTTTACAGAGCTACCTTTGAAGGGAAACAATTGGAGCAAGTGCCGCTGTTGAACTCTTACTACCGTGATCTCAACACCATCATCTCGCAACTGTCGGATGGTCCGTCGAAGTCGTTTGCGTTCAAGCGGATGGAATACTTGGAGGCCCGCTGGAACTTATACTACTTGTTAAATGACTTTGAGGAAGTGAAACAGCTGAAGAAAAACCCTCATCGTGATTTCTATAATGTGAGAAAAGTCGACACTCACATCCACCACTCCGCCTGTATGAACCAGAAGCACTTATTGCGGTTTATTAAGCACAAACTCAAGACGTGTCCCGACGAGAAGGTGATCTACCGTGATGGCCACGTGCTTACATTGTCGCAAGTGTTTGACTCACTTAATCTTACCGCCTACGACCTTTCCATCGACACTCTCGACATGCACGCCCACACTGACACTTTCCACAGATTTGATAAGTTCAACCTCAAATATAACCCGATTGGCGAGCTGAGACTTCGTGAGATTTTCCTCAAGACCGACAACTACATCAACGGCCGGTACCTTGCCGAATTGACTCGTGAAGTGTTTGCTGACTTGGAAAACTCCAAGTACCAAATGAGTGAATTGCGGATCTCGATTTACGGTCGGCTGATTGAAGAATGGGACAAGTTGGCGGCGTGGGTGGTCGACAACAAATTGTTTAGCGACAACGTGCGGTGGTTGATCCAGGTGCCGCGGTTGTACGATGTCTACAAAAAGAACCAGCAGGTGGAGCTGTTTGGCGAGATTATCACCAACATCTTTTTGCCGCTTTACGAAGTGCTGAAGAACCCCAAGTCGCACCCTAAGCTCCACGTGTTTTTGGAACGAGTGGTCGGGTTCGACTCCGTCGACGACGAACTGAAGCTGGAGACGGTGATGAAGCGGTTTCCCATCGCCCCGCTCTGGACCAACCGCCACAACCCGCCGTACTCGTACTACCTCTACTACTTGTACGCCAACCTTGTCAGCTTGAACCAGATCCGCCTCAAACGCAAGCAAAACACGTTTGTGTTGCGTCCTCACTGTGGTGAAGCGGGTGACCCCGAACACTTGATCGCGGCGTTCTTGACGCTGCACTCGATCTCGCACGGGATTCTTTTGCGTAAGATCCCTTACATGCAATATGTGTACTACTTGGACCAGATCGGCTTGGCGATGCTGCCGTTGCTGAACAACGCGTTGTTTTTGACCTACGACAAGAACCCGTTCTACAACTTCTTCAAAAAGGGGCTCAACGTGTCGTTGCTGACCGACGACCCGTTGCAGTTCTCGTACACTAAGGAACCGCTTATCGAAGAGTATCTGGTGGCGGCTCAGATCTATAAGTTGAGTGGGGTAGACATGTGTGAGTTAGCCGCGAACTCGGTGAAACAGAGTGGCTGGGAGGCGCAAATTAAAGCGCACTGGCTCGGCAAGAACTGGTGGCGGGGCGGCGTCGAGGGGAACGACGTGGAGAAGACCAACGTCCCCGACATTCGCGTGTGCTACCGCGAGGAAACGCTTAAAAACGAGCTTGATTTGGTGCGGTACTACGCGCTGTTAAAAAAGTAAAGTGCAACGCGTTGTTGCAAAAGTAAACGTTTGCTCTCCGAAACAGGAAGGAGTTGTCTAAAGAGGGGAGACTTTTTGCGCGAGGCTGGCATGTTCTATGTAGTCACGTGCTAATACACGCAATCAATGCAAGGTGCAGCCGTGAGGTGACCGGGGTAGCCGTGCCTGACGGTAACCGGGCTATGGCTGACGCGAGAGGCGAAGCAGTGGCGAAGCCAATAGCAACGGCGCAAGCGTTCGTGTTGCAAACGGTCACCCAACCCATTTGCTACCGGCTTTGTGGTGTATCGGACGACACCGGCCGCGGTCATATAAGGGTTGCCAGTAGCTTTACATAATTTTAGGCAGGTGAGTGGAGATTCCAGAACGGTGGGAGGGTATCTATCCTGCATACAGCAAATAATGAGGCTACAGCAAAATAAGTAAGTGGTGAACCCGGCCGATTTTCCCGTTTGGCCCTCAGAATGTCTCCCGCTGTTGCCACTGACACCATGGCGGACATACCCACGCTAGCCGACCCCGAGATCCACGACTTCAAGCCGGTGGACTCGAATCCCAAGCTTATACCCGACGAGTCGACCGTGGTGAGCGATGGCGTGGTCCAGACCGCGACCCCGACCCGCCCGTCGACGCTGGCGCTGTCGCCGATCTTCTCCGCCAACTCGCTCACGGTCAACCGGCTTGATCTGTGGAAGTTCATGAGCTTCGGCGACCCGTTGCACCAATATAACCTCACGGACGAGTCGGGCGGCTTCGTCGGCTACGCCAAGGAGAAAGAGAAGAAAAAGCTTGCGCGCGTGTTTAAAGGCGGCGACCGCGGCTACACCATCCAGGTGTTTGACGCCACCAACACCGTGGTGATGACGGTGACCAAAGTCGGCAACGGGCTCGTCGACGTCCACGTCACCGACAGCACGGGCCATCTCACCAAGGTGGGGCGAGCCAAAAAAGTGTGGCAGATGCTCAAGCGCAACTTTGCCCTTCTGTGCGAAGGCACCCCGTTTGGTCTCATCACCACCAAAAACACCAGCGACGTGTACCCGGTGATCAACCCGGAGACGGGGGCGCTCTTGGCTAAGATCACCGCCGAGCCCACCGACCGCTTTTTCAGCAACGAGGTCACTTACACCGTGCTGTGGGAGCCGACGTTGGCCGATATCGCCCGGCGCGCCGTGGTACTCGCGTGCATGTTGGCCATCGACTTTGAGTACTACACCAGCAAGGATTGACGACTTTTGATAATGAATATATGCTAATCTCAGGTAACTTAGGCAGCGAGACGGCATCGTAAATGCTTCGACACGTCTCGCTAACCCCACGTTTGCCGGCGCGCGGCGGGCGTCATTTTCGCGCCGACGTTTTTTGATCTCGGTTCTCTCAACGACACACTCCACGTACCATGACGGACCAGTTGGCGGAGGGCATGGGCCAGCTCCACGTTAGTGGCCACGGGAAAAAGAAGCGGGCGAGAGCTTTCCACACCGACTTGATGGAACAGCGCCCCACCTACCCCGGGGCCGCCAGCGACCCTAACCAGGCGATGCCGGCGCCTATCGACCTGACAGCGTACCCCGCCCACTCCCCGTTGGCGCCACCCTACCAACAATCACCTATACCCCAAATTGGCAACACTACCGGACCAGCGCCACCAGCGCAAGGTCTGTTTGTCCCCGTCCAGGAAGCGGCGCTGGCCCATCTTTCGGTGCAAGAGTTCAGAGATGTCAACCACCGCGAGTACATGGCGTTGGAGGAGTACACTGATCCCACCACCGGCGAGCCTGTCCAGGCACAACGGCAGTTTCTTACGTTTGCCAATGTCGCTCCCCCTGACGCCACTACTCAGTATTTAGCCGTCGACCAAGGGACGGCGCTGGCGAAATTTATGCGCCTGACAATGTACTACGTCCCTGAAACTGAACAATTACGGGCGGCGACTAAGCTTCCGTTGGCGGTGACGATTCGTCCGTTCGCGCCGTTGCTGGAGGTTGAGCTGCCCGTCCCCGTCGTCGATATGCGCCGCATCGACCACCCTCTGGATGACCCCTTGGACAACGGCCCCATCCGGTGTCGCCGTTGTCGGGCCTACGTCAACCCGCTGATGCAGTTTTCCCAACTGGCGTCGTTTACGTGTAACATTTGCCAGTTCCCCAATAACAGAGTGCCCGACGACTACCACGCCATGCTCGATGTCCACAACCAACGCATCGACAAGTTCGTGCGGCCCGAGCTTCATCGCGGGGTGTACGATCTCCTTGTGCCCAAAGAGTACCATGCCGGCTTTGACGCCGAGGTTAAGGACCGCCACGGCCAACCAGTGGACGTGCCGCCGCCCCAGCTCCACCAGGTGTTCCTTGTCGACGTGTCGGAGGCGCTGATCCGCCAGGGACTCCCGCAAGTGGTGGCTGACGCCATTAGAGCCGCGGTGTTTGGTGCTGGTGACGACCCTATCCCCGGTAAAGTGGCGCTCATGACATTTGACAAAAAGATCCATTTCTATAACGTCGATGCCACCGCCGATACTACGGAAGAAGCTATTGTGGTTGACCTCGACGACCCTTCCGTACCCTTTTACCAAGGATTATTCGGCGATGCCACCGAGCTGAGAGACGCCATCAACGATGCGTTGGCAGCAATCGAGCAAATCGGCTACGCCCACGACGTCATGCCTGACGCCGAACCGTGTTTCGCTTCTGCGCTTAAGGCGGCGCTGATGGCCCTTGCGCTCATGGGTGGCGGTAAGATCACCGCCGTGCTTTCAGCTCTCTCCTCATGGGGTCCCGGTGCCCTCAAGTTCAAAGACAACCGCAATGTCGGCCGCAACACGTCCGATACCGACCAAAAAGTGTACTTGCCCGACAACGACTACTGGCTTGGGTTGTCAAAGCAGTTCCGCAAGGATCTGGTGGGGCTCGACGTGCACGTGGTGGCACCGGCGGCGGTGGACTTATCGCATGTGGGGTGGCTCGCTGCCTCCACCGGTGGTACTATATCGCGGGTTACTCACTTTAGCTCTGACCACGATGCCCGCGCCCTTGCTGCTCGCATCCACTCGTCGGTTCGCAAGGTCCGCGGCACTCAGGGCCAGCTCAAGTTGCGTTGTTCCAATGGGCTTCAAGTGACCCAATACTATAGTGGCTACATTCCGGGCGGTGCCAACATGCACACCGCCAGTTCGGATCCTAAGCTTCCAGCCATCAGCGAAGACTTTACCATGACGGTGCTTCTCGAATATGATGGCAAGCTCTCGACCAAGTACGACTGTCACTTTCAAGCAGCATTGCTTTACACCGACCCCGAGGGTGTGCGTAAAGTGAGAGTGATCAACTTAGTTTTGGCAGTGACTGAGCGACTCGAAGAGGCGTTTAATTTTGCCGACGAAAACGCGGTGGTGACGACAATTGCTCGCGACTGCTTGTCATTCGTGGGCAAACAACCCCTCATCGAATTGCGTGAACTGATTAACTTAAAGCTTGTGGAGGTATTCACCCAGTACCGCGCGATGCTGGAGTACGGCAGCAACCGCAACCGCACTCTTTCCACCCAGTTACTCTTCCCCGATTCCATCAAGCACTTGCCGCAATTCCTTTTATCCCTCATCAAGACTCGGGCCCTCCGGGCGCTGACATCACTTCTGGTGGATAGCCGCCTTGGTGATGTCTACACCATGCTTAACATGCCCATCGAACGGCTCATGTACCACTTGTACCCAGCACTTGTCGAGATCCACAGTCTTGCCGATGAAGACGGTACCACCAACGAAACCGGGTGTGTACGTTTGCCGAAGTTCAAGGACTTGCTGGTGGCGAACTTGGAGTCTGGTGTGTACCTTCTTTGCGATGGGTCTAAGGTGATGGTGTGGGTGGACCCGCAAACCAACCCTATGCTTCTCAAGGATTTGTTCGGCACCGAAAACATCGGCGAGATCGATGCTCGTCTTGACGAATTACCCGAGCTTGATACCGACATCAGTAAGCAAACCGCAACCATCATCAAGTTCTTCAACCAGTTCATCATCGGTTGTCCCTCTTTGGGTGCTGCTGGCGTTCAATTAGTTCGTCCTGGCTACGAACAACAGGGCGAGATCGAGTTCAAGGAGAAGCTCGTGGAAGACAGCTTACACGGCACATTGGCTACCAGTCTGGGGCCCAGCTACCCCGAGTACCTTTCTAGTTTGCATAAGGCGATTCGTGACCGGTTGGACAACGATAAACTGTCACAAAAAGTGAGACAAAGTGTCACCCAGGGCGAGCAACTGCACGAGACGTTGGCCCAGCGGATGATTCATTTTTAGTGTAAATACGGTGTGGTGTTATAATTTGCTTTTATATTGCCAGTAAAATGATAGAGGCGGTTAATTGTATTAATTGACGTATTTGTTAAGCGACAATCACGTGACACTTACCGTGAACGCGAGACGGATTCGGACCCACATAGCGTACGGAGCAGCCATGTTCCAAAAACTCCGGAACTTCTCCGACGACGTGGCCAAGAGCATCAGTGAGCTTGGAATTCCTGAGAACCAAACCCCTCAGCAGGCTCAGCTATTGCAAAAGATCAAAAATGGAGAAGTAGTGTTAAACCAGTCTACCCCAGACGCGCTGGAAATGACTCAACCCGAGGATGTGCCTGTTGAAACCGAGACTAAGGCCAAGTCTCCAGCACCAGATTCAACGACTACGTCGAAGGAAACAACCCCAGCGCCCGGTCCTCCTGCTACTGCCTCCACTTCCGAAACCAAGGACGAGATCGACTTGGACTCGCTTTCACCAGTGCTTCGATCGAAAATGAAGAAGTTCTACAAGTACGAAGAGAAGTATCCTGTACTTTTGGACGCATACAAAGTGGAAAAGCGCAAGGGAGAGGTGGTGGCGGCATTCGAGCGAGTGTTGAAGGAGAACACACCCGTGTCATCAATTGCCGACGCCGGCTTGTTGGTTCAATACCTTGAAGGGCTTAACACGAAGACATCGATGTTGAATAATGAGCTCCGCAAACTCACCAAGGAGAAGAATGAAGCCGAAGCTCAAATTAAAAAGCTCAATCTGGATTTAACTCAGACCAAGAATACCCTGGAGGAAACCAAGCGCAATTTGGAAAATGAAGTGAAGCAGCTTAAATCGCAGGTCAAAGAGCTTGAAGAGAAAGTCGCTGCTGCTCCACAAGAGCTGACACCGGATAATGAGGAGTCGAAGAAATTACAGGATGAACTTGATACCGTGAAGAAGCAATTCGAGGAAGCCAAAGGCCAGGCAGAAACTGCCACCGAGCAAGTGAACACTTTGAAAGCCGAAGCTGATGAACTTAAGAAACAGTATGACAATGCTGAGAAAGAACTTCAATCTGTAAGAGAACTGCTGGATTCCCACCAAGCCAATCTCGCTGACCTTAAAACTTCACACCAGCAACAACTTGACGAACTCAAAGAACTGCATACTTCCGAGATCGGCAAGGTTAAGGAGGTTCATACTTCCGAGGTTGAAACAATCCAAAAGAAATATGATGAGTTGGAAAAGAATCATATTTCCGAGTTGGAGTCAATCCAAAAGAAGTATGATGAATTGGAAAAAAAGCTTACACTGGCACTCGATGAGAAGCTGAAACTTGAATCTGAACTTAATAGTTTGCAATCTTCCAATTCTAACGTGCAAACCTCTAATTCCAAGAAGAACAAGAAGAAGAAGGGTGGAGCTGCTGCGGCTGCGGCTACCCCAGATGTGGCACCATCTAGCGAAGACAACACAAAATTACAGCAGGAGCTTGATACATTGAAGGATGAAAAAGCCATACTCACTTCTAAGATTCGGGAGAAGGATGAGGAGATTGAGAATTTGAGAGACTCGGTGAAGGAGATCGGTAACGACTTGGTCGATGCTCGCGATCAAATCAAACTGTTGAAGGCCCAGCTGCTCGAAGCGTCGCTGAAGCTGGAGGAGTTAGACTCTGCCACTTCTAAAGTTGCTGAAATCCTGTTGAAGCTCGAAAATGCTTTGAAGGAGTACAAGCTGAAGGTTGATACTCTTGAGGAACAGATAACACACCACAAGAACTCCACTGACACTGCTCAAAAGGAAGTGATTGTGATGAAAGAGAAGTTGTCGAGTCTCGAAAAGGAGATTGAATCTCGCGACGCCAAAGCAAAGTCTCACACTGCTGAACTTGAAAAGTTTAAGGATGAAATCAAAACCCACGAAAGCACCACCAAAACCCTTAAAGCAGAACTTGATGAATGTCAGAAACAAATCGAGAAGTTGGAGACAGAAGTGAAAACTTTGACTGCCGATAATGAATCCAAATCGAAAAAGATTGAGGAGCTTAGTTCGAATTCTCAGGATGGCCAGTCACTCAAGATAGAAATTGCTGCTTTGCAATCTCTGATCACTTCCAAAGACCAACAAATCAAAGACTACCGTGAAAGAGTTGATCTGTTACAAAAGAAGCATGACGACAATACTGACAAACTTGCGGGTCTCAAGATTCAAGTCCACCAGTACGAAACGGACATCACCCAACTCCGTAAAGAGAAGAATGAGTTGATCAATAAGCATGAGGTGGCGTCTGAGCGTATCACCAGTCTCACCAATGAACTCAGTAAGAAGCAAGAGGAAAAGCTGGCAATTCAAAACGAACATGAAAAGCTTCGCGCCCAATATGATACCATGGCGAGAGACAAGTCGACGATTCTGGGTGATGTTGAAACCTACAAGCAACAGTATGACGAGTTACTGATGAAGGTGAAGGAGTCGGCCATGAAGATTGACAGTCTTCAAGATGAGTTGGCGGAAAGTCGTAACATGCTCCAAGAAAGAATCCGTGAAGGTGTTAGCATTCGTCGTTTACTTCTTGAAGCCGAAGATCAGTTGAAAACCACAGAAGCCCACTGTAAGAGCGAGATCAAACGTGTACAGGAGGAGCGTGATGAAGTGGTCATGGACTCTCAACACCAATTGCGGAAGCAAAAGCGGACTATAGATGAGTTGAATAATCAATTATCGGAGTCTGCACAACAATTGGAAGAATTACAGGCTAAGCTTAAGACTGACTCCAACATTCAGGCACCCAAAGATTCAGCTTCAGACTTTAGTGCACAAGATATGCAAAATCAACTCGATATGTTGAGACAATCGCTTCAGGAATCAAGTAAGAAGGTTCAAGAGTACGAAACCATGAACAACACCTTGAAGAAACTCAATGAAGAGAGCAATCTTAAATTTGAGCGCCTTTCAAAGAACTACAAGATCTTGACGCAACAATACCGAGATGCTGAAAAACAACACGCGACGTCTAGTGTTGCCAAACCCGCTGCGCCCGTTGAGGTAAACAAGGGCGCCTCTAACGAAACTAATATTGATTATCTCAAGAATGTTTTGCTTGGATTTGTTGAGCATCGCGAGCAGCGGGACCATTTATTGCCGGTGCTCAAAACTTTGTTCCATATGAATAACGAAGAAGAGCAAAAGCTTATGGTTGCATTGAAATAACTTTTATCACAATAAATATAGACACCTCGACTTTTTCGTATACTATTCTACTATGTCATCTCATCTCGCACCCAGATCGCCACGATGCTAGATCCATTTGAACAAAAGAAGCAAGCCATCATCACCGAGATATCGGCAACACTGTCAGACCTACCCGATGCAAGTCCCAAAGGTACCATTGATGAATTCTGTTGGCCTGTGATCAATATAATAAACCGCCATTCCGATATGGTCACGACGTCTCTGTGTCTGGGGAGAGTATCGGTGTTTCTTGAGGGCCACAAGGGTGATTTGAAGGAAGGGGAAATGAAGATTGGGGCCAAAGGTAACGAAGGCAGATGGCTATTTGTCACTCACGATCCTAAGGACTTGCCGGGATGGCACAAGCAAATTAGCTTCAAGTATACCACAGAGTACCCTCTTGATCCCACAACCCGCTACATTTTATTCAAGTTTGAACCCTTAATTTTACACGTCAAATGCAGGGATGTGGCCACGGCAACTCAGCTTTATAATACCGCCATGGGGTGTGGGTTTCGGGAGTCGGGGATTGGCAGCCACAACAACGTGGCTATCCGCACCAGTATCAAGCTAGATGTTCCCATTGGATATCTAGGAGAGAACGATGAGTTGGTTTGCTTTGTTACCCCGGAATATCTCGATTTGATCACCACTTTAAGTGACAATCGCTTCCAGGAGAATTTTAAGAAGATGCGGGCAATTGAAAGGGCCATCGAAGGCATGGAGGTGAAAGAGCAAGTGAAGGTAGAAACAAAAGAGGAGAGACGGGAAAGGAAACGTCTCGAAGGGTTAGCTCGTCAGCAGCAGCTTCGTGAAGGTCGCACCGCTTAAGATAGCACATAATTCTAATTGCATGATGTATAACGAACGTGGAATACATGGAATATGAAAGAAATTTGATTAAGGACAAGCTGGAGGACGTCACAGAGGCAAAAACAAGGTCCTACCCGGATTCGAACCGGGGTTGTTCGGATCAGAACCGAAAGTGATAACCGCTACACTATAGAACCGCGATCGACGCAACTACAACGATAGCGGGAGTTACCCTTCCAATATGAATACACCGAAGTCGCTTAGTTTCCCCAGTTCTCGCCTGTAACTGCCACGACTCTTGACGTTTGACTTGTAGTAGTTGTGGCATCGATATAAATCGGGGTTTGGATGCAAAGTCAATTCAATCAGCCCAGGGTACTAGGAACATACACCGCAGAAACTTACCAGCTCCCTCATCACAACTTCGATATTAGTAGATACCATTGAAACTGTCGAACCCATTAATCGGAGACTAGCCCCAAGTTATGACTCCCAATAAACGTATGATGTCATTGACTTATGGGCGCATCGTTTTTATAAGTGCGAAATTTTCAATCTGTCGTTGACACACCATGTCTGAACAAGAAGCCAAGCAACAAGAGCAGCCCGTCGCTGCTCCGACTGAAGGTGCTCCCGCTGCCGAAGTTATCCTCGGCGAAGACGGTCAACCTTTGTCGAAGAAGGCCCTTAAGAAGTTGGAAAAGGAACGCGAGAAGGCCAAAAAGAAGGCCGAACGCGAAGCTCAGCTCGCTCAGGAAAAGGCTGCTAAGGAAGCTGCCGCTGCCAATGACCCCGCCAAGGCCAACTACGGCAAGTTGCCTTTGAACAACTCGTCTCTGCGCACCAACGAGCCCCGGGCCCAGATCGGTGACCTTTCCGCTGCCAAGGACGGTGAGGAAGTGTTGATCAGAGCCAGAGTCCACAACACCAGACAACAAGGTGCCACCATGGTCTTCATCACTCTCAGACAACAATTGTCTTCCATCCAAGCTCTTTTGAAGGTGAACAAGGACGAAGGTTCCAGCGCCATCTCGAAGCAGATGGTCAAGTGGGCCGGTTCGGTTTTGCCCGAATCGATCGTGTTGGTCAGAGGTGTCGTTAAGAAGGCGCCCGAAGCCATCAAGTCGGCCACCGTGCAAGACGCCGAATTGCACATCTCGCAAATCTTTGCCATCGCCGAAGCCCCCGAATCATTGCCGTTCAATGCCGAAGAGGCGTCGAGATCCGAACAAGAATGCGAAGAAAAGAACTTGCCCTTCATCAACTTGGACACCAGACTTGACTCGCGTGTTGTTGACTTGAGAACTAAGACCAACCAGGCTATCTTCAAGATCCAAGCCGGTGTGTGCAAGTTGTTCAGAGAGTTCTTGGACAAGAAGGGTTTTACTGAAATCCACACTCCCAAGATGATTGCCGCCGCTTCTGAAGGGGGTGGTAACGTCTTCGAAGTTTCGTACTTCAAGGGTAAGGCTTACTTGGCCCAATCGCCCCAATTTTACAAGCAACAAATGATTGCTGCCGACTTTGAAAAGGTTTACGAAATCGCCCCCGTGTTCAGAGCCGAAAACTCCAACACTCACCGTCACATGACCGAATTCACTGGTCTCGATTTGGAATTGACTTTTGAAGAACACTACCACGAAGTGTTGGACTTGCTTTCGGACTTGTTTGTGTTCATCTTCTCGGAGCTTAAGTCGAGATACGCTACCGAAATCGCCACTGTCCGTCAACAATTCCCCGTTGAAGAATTCAAGCTTCCTGCTGACGGTAAGATGGTCAGACTTACCTTCAAGGAAGGTATCGACATGTTGAAGGAAGCCGGCAAGGACCTCGACTACTACGAAGACTTGTCGACAGAAAACGAAAAGTTGTTGGGTAAGTTGGTCTACGAAAAGTACGACACCGACTTCTACATCTTGGACAAGTTCCCTCTTGACGTCCGTCCCTTCTACACCATGCCTGACGCCGAAAACCCCAAGTTTTCCAACTCTTACGACTTCTTCATGCGCGGTGAAGAAATCTTGTCGGGTGCTCAACGTATCCACGACCCCGACTTCCTTGCTGAACGGATCAGAGCCCACGAAGTCGACCCCACCGTGCCCGGGTTGAAGGAATACATCGACGCCTTCTCGTGGGGCTGTGCTCCTCACGCTGGTGGTGGTATTGGTTTGGAAAGAGTGGTGATGTTCTACTTGGGCTTGGGTAACATCCGGAGAGCGTCGTTGTTCCCCAGAGACCCCAAGAGATTGACGCCGTGAGTAGTGTATATAATGGAAAAAAAACCTTGAGCGACTCCTGTATCGTAAAATGCCTTTAGCTCCCGCATACCTACACCCAGCGCTCACAACCAAAAATCGATGCCCCCTAATGCACCGGAGTGTCGCGGTGGCCAATCATGGACCTTAGCTGTAGAGTCTAGACCGCACAGTCGTCGCCCCACATGCCGAGGCCATCACCTCCAACTATAAATCCTGATCTCGAGATGGTGGCATCCCTTGATCTCGGATTTTGAAGTAACCTTTGTCGATGCTACAAACCAAGCGTCGTAAAAAGCAAACCTCACCCCTTATTGTGGAGCGGCGGTGGGTGTATCACCAGTTGCTCCATGGACAACACACACTAGCGATTGCAGGTGTGGAGCGTACAGGCATCTCATCAGCCAGGCACCCTGCACAACGCCCTATGCCGAGTGGGGATGGAGCCACAGACGAAAAAATAAAATCTGGTGGACGATATCGCCAGTGTCGTTTCACCGTCGGCGAGTGTCTGCCCTCATCTTTGCTTGCTAGTGATCCCCCCTTCCACCACATCCTGCCACAGTAGACACACTAGCGATGCTTGCTTAATGCAAGTAATTTATTGTAAACGGCCATCTCGCATAATGAAATTCTAAATAAGGTGGAGCCGAGCGGCCAATAAGCAGACAGAGTTGCGCAAAACCATCGAGGCAAAATCCCGACGACACAGGTGGTACGGCATGAAACGTAGGGTGTTATAAGGAGGTCGACATCCCCTTTGCTGCCGATTAAGTCACCATGCACTTTCCTTCTAAGCTTTTGCTCGCCGTCTACGCCGCTTTGGCGGTCGCTGCCGATTCCGACACCGAGGAAGACACCACCATCACCCTGATCATCACCATCCAGGCGACGTTGGTGGTGCCTTCTAACACCCCTGACCAACCTCAGGACACCACCCAGGCTAACGAAACCACCAGTACCGGACCCTCGCCCCAACCCTCGGCCGAGCCTGCTTCCACTGAGCCTGCTTCCACTGAGCCATCTGCGGAACCCTCGACGCAACTGTCGTCGGAACCGTCGTCGGCACCCTCGTCGGAACCCTCCGCGCAACCTTCTGCCAAACCTTCTGCGGAACCTTCGCTGCAACCTTCGTCGGTAGAACCCACCACCTCCACGCCCACTACTGCCGTTGAAGAACCCACTTCGGTTTCTCAACACACTTCGTTGGCTGAAGTCTCTATTGAGCCCACCAGCACCCAAGCCCCCGCTGTCGGGAACAACGGGAGCCCCGAGATCTCGGTGGCGGAAAACGCTGCCTACAAGCTTAACCTTGGCTGGGCCATGGCTGCTGGCGCCGTTGGTATGATGTTGTAAAATGATGGTATATGTTGTATTATTAGAATCTTAATAAAGTGTATTATTTCTGATTGACATTTGCTCCCCCCTCTCACATCCTGTCACGTGACGAAGTGTCGCCCGTCACAGTTGACGTTGCGACCACTCGGTAACAATTAGATTCTCCGGGGTACACTCGTTCGTCGTGCCGTTTACGCCATCACGCCAGCATGGAAGCTACCTTGGTGTCGAACCCGAAAGATTCGAGTGCCACCATCCTTTTGATGGGGCTACGAAGGGGTGGCAAATCATCCATTTGCAAGGTGGTGTTCCACAATATGCAACCGTTGGACACCCTCTACTTGGAGTCAACCCTGAAACCGACCACCGAACACTTTTCTTCACTTATTGACTTGCTGGTGATGGAATTACCGGGGCAACTTAATTACTTTGAGCCCACATATGACTCAGAACGCATATTCGCCCTGGTCGGGGCCTTGGTGTACGTGATTGACTCGCAAGACGAATACCTTAATGCCTTGACCAACTTGTCCATGATCATTGAATACGCATACAAGGTGAATCCCGCCATCAACATCGAGGTCCTCATCCACAAGGTTGATGGTTTATCGGAAGAGTACCGGATTGATGCCCAGCGCGACATAATGCAACGTACCGGCGACGAATTGTTAGAGTTGGGTCTCGAAGGTGTCCAGGTTTCATTCTACTTGACGTCTATCTTTGACCACCTGATTTACGAAGCGTTTCTGCGAATCGTCCAAAAGCTCATTCCCGAATTGCCCCTGTTGGAAAACATGTTGGATCAATTAGTTGTCCACTCGAGCATCGATAAGGTGTTCTTGTTTGATGTCAATTCGAAAATTTACGTTGCTACTGATTCATCACCTGTGGATATACAAACATACCAGATTTGTGCGGAGTTTATTGACGTCACCTGCGACTTGGATGACTTGTACGTTGAAGACGACAAACAAGAGATGCGAACACTTTTCGGGGAGGACATCCGCAGTGTGTCCAGGTTAAACAATGGGTGCATTCTCTACTTAAAGCAAATGATTAGAGGGTTGGCGCTTGTGGCCCTTATTCGTTCGGATGAAAAGTCTGACATTGACAAATCCCTTGCCATCATAGATTACAACGTCGGGTTATTCAAACAAGCGTTAATGAAGGTATGGGCACACGCAAAATTGCAGCCGGCCAATCGTCCTGCTGTGGAAAACTAGGTTCCATTTAAGACGAAACTTTAGTACATCATCACATTAAATGGATATCACCTCCTGGCAACAGCCACTTAAAATGGGATATAGGTAGTTTCGGTCGTAGTAATGAAATCAAAAATTGAAAGATCCACACCCCCAGCCTGAAACTGACGGTTAAGCCAATAACAGACTAAACGGAGGTTGGCGAACCAACTCAGGGCGCTGTGCAATGCCTCTTAAGTCGACACGGATGGAAGGCTTCTTGATCCCCTCCATCATCTCAAGGTAAGTATGAAGAAAAAAATTTGATGGCGCGTGAAACTACAATTATATTACGTTCCTGTATATAAACCTAAAACATGGTCAAACTCCGGGCAGTGACTGGGTAGAAGTTGGAACACCCGACATTACGAACATATAGATTGTTGATGTCGGTCCCTGCCACAACATATGCCAAACCCAGTGCATGACCAATGTCCAAATTGAAATTACCTGTCGTCACAAAGCCCACAATATCGCATAGGTTACGGTGATTGCCAACAAATAATCTGGCACGGTCAGTGATCGTACCCTTGTCGCAAGTAATGCCTATCAATTGGATTGGGAGGTTTGTTTTGCGTATGTCACCAAAACATTTAACAATTGGTATGTCTGTTGTTTTCGTAGTAGTGCATCGAAATTGGCCTTCATTATTACCAGTTCGGGTGACGGCTACCATTAAGTCCTTGTAGTCATTAATTTTGATATCACTTTCATCAAATTCGACGTTTGGATTGGCACCTTCAAGCAATTTTTCTGGAGTTAACTTGTAAAGTTGTTTAAGAAACACCAATGCTCGAAGACTGGACCAATCGCACTCGAAAGGGTTCATGAAATCGGGGTTGGCGTAATCCTCGTGACTGTCTCTGTTGTACTTCTTCTCCCTCATTTGGTATTTTGACTTTAAAAGCCATCCATTGGCATAATTGTATTTGGCCCCTGCGGCGAGCCAAGGGAAGTCGTAAGGGTAAGTGGGTCTGAAATTTTCATAGTTGATCTGGTAGAGTTGTTGAAAGCCAATAGGATGAACTTTGGGCAATCGTACAAGTTTGATCCACACTGGCAACACCCAGTACCACGGAATAAGTACAGTCCATCCTACTGTCGTTTTGATCACAACTATGGGAATAGAAGTCTTCGAGATGATGTCTTGAGACACTGAGTTAGACATGGAACCCGCCTCTCTGAATTTCTTGTCCAACTCTTTCACAGGAAGCATGTTTTCGTAGGATCTGGACCGACCATGACTGGTGAACAATGGCGACAGGGTAACATGGTCTTCAGCATTAGCACGTACGATCTTGACCGCATCGCTCTCCTTCAGGGGTGTAGGTTTGGTCAGAGGCTGCTTCCATAAACGGGGGTCGCGAATGTCTAGCGTGTAGGTTGTGCCAACGGCAATTGTTCTGTGATCGGTAAAACTGCAAATGCTCTCCCAATAGGGATCATTCAGTACTGGGTGTATGATTTGTGAAAGCTCCTGCAACGCCAAGGGGCCCATCAAATCAATACTACCAATGGCGTATCGGCAATCCTCGATAGCGTATGACTTTTTGAGACTTTTGAAAATGTAGTCATAATCTTGGGCATGTACCCGTACCATGATTTTGCTGTGATTGACAAGGACCACACCCATGGCTGTGAGTTGATCCTTGATGTACAACGGGCCAACGTAACTGCGCTTGCCGTTCAACAATGAAGGGGGAACGGCATCGTTGTATTTAGTGTGGCGACGGAAGAACTCGAGGGGTTCAGCGTTTTTGACGAGTAACACGTCATTATAAGAGGTGTCCATAGCAACACACTTATGTTTAGCGTTACGGTGCGTGCTCCGGTAGCATTTTTGCAGTGGAGTCAAGGGAATCTTGTACCCGTTGTTCCCCACCATGTGGAACCGTTTGGCGTGCCACACATGAGTTGGAAGCCACACGAACTCTTTTTGACGATGCATGTAGCCGAAAGCCCCTCGGGGTCGAAACGCAAGTTGATTAAGTGCACAGTTATCATAAGCACCGCATCTGTTATTGTATTTCCGCAACCGATGCTTTTCAAAGGCAGCGATATCGCGGTTAAGATCACGTATTTGGTGACGCAAACCGGCCTTGCGACCAGATCTATGGACGTAGGGTGGAAGCTGTCGGAGAAGCTTCAATTTTGCGCCAAACTTCAAAAGCCGTTTCCGCAATTTGTACATGTGTAACAGACGTCCCTTGCTTGAACCCTTGGGCTTCTCGCCTTTAGCCGTTTTCGCCATCTCATTGAGAGCTCGATTACGAAGCCGCTTCGGGATCCGCTTCACATTGTGAGAGGCTGTTCTTCGTCGAAGTACACGTGGTAGATTCTGGAACACTCGGGCGACCTGTGATGCCTTGACTTTAAGCTGGGCCCTCTCAAATGAGCGCACCTCGAACTCACGGGCCTTGATGAAATCGGGGATATTGAGACGCCGATACTTGTCAAAACTAGGATCGGCGATCTCAGCTTTCATCACCCGTGAGTTCTGTAGCTTGGCTCTTTTCTTGGCCTTATTTGCCGGGGTGGCAGACGGCGTTGGCGCCATGATGAGGTGGTGATGGATGGGCGCGTGCGAAGAGCGGCGTCGGCCAAATGTTATGGAGGTCTACGAATGAGTCCAAAATGGATGATATATAAAGAATTGATTAATTTGAGATCGTCATTATTACATTAATATACACCGTCATCGACATCAGCGAAACTTTGGATTTCGTCTGTAAGACGCGTCAAGCAAGCTTCTCATGAATATGGCTCTAGTAGTAGGCAACTGCGTATAGAGTCTGAAGATGGGGGTGCTCCTTTTGCCATTCACTTAAAATCTTCATCATCTGATCCTCCATGAGATTGATTGATGGGTCCTCAGGGTTTTCCTTCTGCAGTTCTCGGAATTCATGGATCATATTAACCAACTTCAAAATACCTTTACCCCCCAAAATAGCGTTTTCGTTATCATCCTTGATATCAATGTTGATAACATGGACAATCTCGCGGGCTTCGATGACCAGATCACTGGGCTTGTCATAGAGACGGAATTGTAGGTCATCCAAAACGGAATCGAAACATCTCTCTTCACAGGTGATCACCAAGTCGAATTTACCTGCGTAGTAGTTCGTGTGCCACTTTTCCGGAGCGGTTTTAACGTGGCGATTCCGATTCAACATTTCGATTAAGCCTTGAGACTCGTACAACTTACGACATGGTTGCGATAAGAGATCATTGTAGATGGTTTCGTAGGGAGTGCCGAAGTCGTACACATTGGGTTTGTTGATCGACGGACCGGGTAACCTCACCGCCGACCCCGTGCCGAACGACTTCACGTCGTACCCTGCGTCTCGTAACTGTTTGTGTGACTCCATGGACCGGTTATTATTCGAGGCACACACGGTACATATCTTGAGACTATCTTCTTTCATGACCATTGGTTTTCAAGGATGGATATTAGGATGGCACTGTGTGGGTGATGATGGCGGTGCGCGAATAAGCCGCACGCGCCGCCCCCCTACGAAAATTAACTACGTGTGACTAACATGATATCTATTGAGTCTCCGGCTTGTCCAGCAAGTTGATGGGTTCATACTCCTCCAGCGTATCGATACTTTTGCTTGGATCCTCCTTGTCAACGAGCACCGCGTCATCCGCATGAGCGGGCGGCTCGCTAGATCCTAAGTCGACAAAGTCATCTTCTCCAGGTTCGCCCCCAAGATCAACGAACTCGTCGACATCTCGACGTACGTGAACGAACTCTGAGTTTTGAGCGGAGCTCTTTTGCAGGGAGAAGTGGACTATACGGTTTTTGCTCGCTCCACATTGCGATTTGAAGTCATCAAAGTCAGCCTGAGACCCGAAGTACACACCAATCATCATAGACGGGTCCAAGGTTGAGAGATGGCTTCGCTGGTATCCAGATGGCCGATACGTCGCGTAGGCATCTTGTCCAGATGTGGAAATAATCGATTGAGGTGAATGGGGGTCAAAGTATAGTAGGTCTTGATCTTCGTAGCCAAAAAAGTAGTAGCTGGCCGATGGCTTCCCTCCAGCAATGCCGACCAGCTGAGGCAATGAAAGAAGATGAAGTAAGCTCTCATGGTAGTACTTGTTGATTGAATCAATGCCTAATCTTACCGGCATCAAAAGGAGAGTAGGGAACTCAGGAATGGTAGAAGGAACGTCACCAGACTCGCCAATGATAACATGTAAATCATCACTCAACAATTTGAGGATTGATAGCGACGCCGCATTGGGCCCGAACCACTGGCCTGGCTTCACTTGGAGCGGCAGCTCTCCAGCCACCTTCACGAAGTTGTGTAAGGAGTACGGTGCCTCCGGAGTGTCAAGAAACTGCCCCACAACCTGTTCGAACGTTTGACCGCTGCGGAGTAACGCGTTTGCAAGCAATGTCTGTGACGTTCGGATCATACACCCCCACCCCACATCACTGGTAAACAGCTCAAAATCCGGTAATGTGAATACGCCCTTTATCAATGCCGATCCAAGAAAATTGAGCGGACTCGGGCCCGTGGGATCTTTTGGTATTGGTTGGAACCCATACCGATAAGTTAATTGCACTAAGGTGGCAATTCGGTTCGAGGCGGCGGCGGGGGTGTCGTAGGTGGTTCCCATTACCACCAAAGGCATTGGGTTGACCGGGGTTGCCTGCTCTCGATTGGTAAGAGCCAGCCAAATCAGTCCGATCGAGAAAGGCGAGTCAACACCAGGGGGATCTTGCCTATCTAGCGGAGTCATGTGCCTGTGGTGATTGCGCGCCGGCCACTGATTACCGAGTTTCGCGGGGTTCATGGTAGACACACCTATGTGATCATGCAGTGACCACCTGAAAAGCACCAGAAAGAAAACTAATTCAAATAAAATGCTCTAATCTATTCATTATTTCCTGGCTTCAGTTAATCTGTTGTCGTGGAGTAGCACTGCGTGACCACCCACGTGATGACCCCACCCTGTAAGCGCAGATGTTAAGGTGTGTAGTCACAAACTATACTCTATGGTCACCTCTTATGAAATGAATATCTAGGAGATAGCTTACAATCATAATCAGGGTCTGATAAATAAATTTGCTTACAATCTGAGCCAAATCTGTCGGCCCCGTAACTGTAATTAATATAGCGCAAGATGCATGAACGAAAATGCTTAACCGCCTCAGCCTCATCCCATCTCATCAACTCTAACGAAATGATGATAAGAGAAATGTTTCGGGACTTAGGTGTCATAAATACCCTTCTACCAGTCTGGATCGCGGTATCTATGGCTGTGGGGGTCATCCTTGGTTACTTTGTTCCTCAGGTGAGGGAGAAGCTTGACCATGCTCGATTCGCTGATGTTCCTGTTCCTATATTGGTTGGCATGATCTGGATGATGTTTCCCGTATTGTGTAAGATTGATTACTCTCCCAGTCAGTTCAAACGTACAAACTGGAAGTACGTTGCTGCTCTGTTGGTTGTGAACTGGGTGATCGCTCCTTTCTTGATGATTGGCTTGGGTTGGGCCACCCTTCCTGACTTATTGGAATTTAGAGTTGGAGTAATCATTGTTGGCACAGCCCGTTGCATCGCTATGGTGATGATCTGGAATGAGTTGGCTGGAGGGGACCAACAGTTATGTGCTACGTTGGTGTTGATAAATCTGTTGCTTCAGATCGCGCTCTACGGACCATTGGTGTACGTTTATGGTAAATACCTTGGTGGGTATGATGACATGAAGCTTGCTATATGGCCTGCCATCCGGTCAGTGTTGGTTTTCTTGGGGATTCCCATGGCTGCTGGATTCGTCACCAGAATTGGTACAAAGATGTTAGGGATTTACGACAAGACCATGAAACTCATTGGACCTACTTCATTACTTGCTTTGTTGTACGTTATCATCGTGTTGTTTGCTCTGCAAGGTCATGCTATCGTTGACAACATTGGGCCCGTCTTTCGAGTTGTTGTTCCCTTGTTGATCTACTTCTTGGTACTCTTTACTGCGGTTGTCCTTGGGTGCCGTCATTATTGCGTCCCTTATCCACAAATGGTCACACAAGCATTCACAGCGGCCTCAAACAACTTCGAATTGGCGATTGCGGTAGCAGGCTCTATCTTTGGTGTCGATTCTAAAGAGGCCATGGCCGCAACAGTGGGGCCTCTTGTTGAAGTGCCTGTGTTGGTAACCCTTGTGTATGCTATCAGATGGGTGAACCAAACTTGGTACTACAAGAAGATCAACAAATGTCAAGGTTGTGATTTACAGCAAGTGGTTTTGGTGCATGACCTGGATGCTGAAGAATTTAATGACAAACACAAGTATCGCCGCTTCAGGGCTGTCACGTCTGCGCTACCTGATAAGAATGAACCGATAGTGGTGCTTGAAAAGCTCAATTTTAGAGAGTTGGAACTAAAATTGATGAAAACTCATTGACTTTATGAAGTGATGAAATCAAGTGTAAGCTTGAAGAAAGGTTTGATGTCATTTGCTGCATTAAAGGTTCTTCATCAATGTGTCCACAAATTCCCATGAGACTTGAAATTATCTTAATTGTTTCCCGATCTGTACAACCCAATTGGCTTCTGAATAACCCTTGGTGTTTGTCCGGCTGTCGTTGTTTCACGCAGCGTTAGCAGATGAAAACAACGCCTCCTCTATATCAGAGTCGTCAAGAGCACCTGCTGTTGCATAGCAGGTCTCAGCAGATGTTATATGTTGTCTTGACTCTACGTTACCAAATCTTACCTAGGTTGAACCATTTGTATGGTTTCGGTTTCTGAATCCTAATCATGACTGACTTACTCCCAATTTACTGGTAGCATTCCCTATACATATATGTAGAGTGTCATCAGATCTATCTACTCTTGTACCTCCTGATAGATGCATTCTGTATGCCTAGCCTTGTACCATCAGCATGTGCGATGCCTAGAGTGGAACGAAAAGCCAACACTGCAACAAGCTCTTGAGCTTCTCTACGTTTCTTATAGCAGTGAAAGTCAAATAGGAATTGATCTAACCTTACCTTTTTCCAATGTTTGGTAGCCGATTTGTATCGTCTGCGAAAATAACTCATACTTATAGACTAAGCGGAAGAATATATCGAGACTGAATGACAAATTGCGAGAGTCAATAATAATGATACAGCTATTATATTGCTCCCAAATTTAGCTTATTACGTAACACGCTTGGAATCTAACCGTGAAACTTATGAACACGCCTAGAAGAAGCTCAAGCTAAAACCAATTGTGCTTGTGCTGATGTATAATTTCAGTTTTGCAAAATTTCAAAATTCCTCTCGATAGCTTAGCTGGTAGAGCGTGAGACTGTAATGGAATTGTCATCTCAAGGTCGCGTGTTCGACTCACGCTCGGGAGAATCTAACTTTTTTAATTTTTTCACTTAATCTATGTCTTTAATTTTCATCTTCAATGGGTCTACACTGCTGGCATATTTGCGGAGGCCATTTGGTACTGGTTTTTGTTGAATTGGACAAAAAATTGAGGTGTACTCATCATTGAACTGTTGATGATAAGATGAATTTGCGAAAAATTTAGAAAATCTTCACGCTTTCACATACTGTGGAAAATTGACCTAGTTTGGAGCCACGTACAAAAAGAGTTATGCACCGGAACGAACCCTCTATATCAATACCATTGCACGCTCGAACTTTCGATTAGCATCATTATCGTCAGCGACACTTATTTACATGATTATCATTTTGAGAAGATATTAGCATGATGACGCATTGCTGTCGGTATTATTAGACCGTGTATTCACCTAGTCATGTCTGTGATGGCACTTTTCTACATAGATCCACGACCCCCAACCATTGAAGTTATGAACTCATACATACAATCAGTGGATACTAACTCCCGATTGAATACGTAATGGTTACCTCGGTAACTCCTGACCATGATCAGCGACTTACCGACGTGGTCATTCGACCCTAGAGCCAAACATACGCTACTCTGGCCCCTATAAACAAGCTTTAACATGAACATGGTAGTAGATTTCTCGATGGTCTATAAAATGTGTGCCGAAATACCTACAAAATCAGTTCTTTGCTCTGATTGTTCGCATTAAATCAAAATGTAACACTGTTTGAAGGTCCACCTACAAATATACTCCCATTCATTCGTCAAAGAGTGTTTCAATTGCATTTAGTGCCAATTACAGACACTTTTCTTCACAGGTGTTGTTATATCATGAAACATAAATTAATTTATAGTATGAAAAACAGGCAGGGACTGCCGTCAACTTCATAAGCAAAGAATTCTTTTATTGTCTTTAATACCTTAATCTGTGTTAAACAGAGTTTTGTAATTTTTAAAAAATGGTCCCTTGGCCCAGTTGGTTAAGGCGTGGTGCTAATAACGCCAAGATCAGCGGTTCGATCCCGCTAGGGACCATGTTTTTTGAAACCTTCCACCGATTGGTATGCCAACTCAAACTCAAAGATTTGAGAATATACTACTTTTTGTCTTGAACGTAAAACTGAAAGGAAAATTTTTTACATGTTTCGATTGACTCTCTGCATTGTCGTTGACGTCGGCAGCTAGTATAGAAGTTTTACCTATAACTCATTGATACTACTTATAGAGTCATTAGCTGATAGACTCGTGTACAAATTTGATAATGTCATTTAATTAGATCATTAACGCATGCAGCCATATGTATAAGATTTCTTACTCCCAAAGCTCAATCGACTACCACTTCGCCGCATACTTCGAGCGAGCTCTCAACTTCGGCCCTATTAGCAAAAACGTCACGGGAATGGCGATCATGCCCACACAGATGAAACCAAGCACTGACAGACCCCAGCCTACAAGGAAGCGCTTGGTTTTCAAGTTCAAGAACAAGGGTCTGGCGAATAATGGGAATACCCCGGCAATGGTAGACCGCACAAAATCGTTAGAGGCGAACACCAGAGCAAGGTACTCAGATGCAAACGATGCCCCTAAAAAGTTGAACAACGTTTGGAAAATGAAAAAAGCCCCCATGGCGAAAGTGGCAGCGCCCATAATAGGACCCATCCAATGGAGGTCAGGAGCCGCAGTCCAGCCGAAGATGAAGATCCCAACGGGCATCAATATTGAGCCAGCAATGGCAATGGGCATAAACACCTCGGGGCTGACCTTAGTTCCCGCTAATTCTTTCTTAGTGAACAGGTGGTAGATAATAGACACGTAAATAATTGCCCCCAAAAGAATACCAGTAATGATTGCGACGAAAGTGGTGCCCATCGGCACAAGTTTGAAGTGGAATACCTCAACGAACACCATGGGGAACGCCTCGAACCACAAGTACATGATGGCATACACGAGCGAAATGTATAAGTTCACCGCCAACACCACCGGTTCCAACAACGTGATCTCAATTGGACGCCACAACGTGTCCACAAGCACCTGGTGAGTGGTAAGCGCTTCATTTTCAATCTCGCCTACCAGCTTAATGTTGGGATTTTGCGTGATTGCTCTCAACCGTTTAGCCTTACGAGCAAGCAAAGTCTTGTCATACAGTTCAGGGAATGTAAACGTCAATACAATCAATGCCGATCCCAGGAGAATCGCCATGAACCAAAACGTCCATCTCCAACCACCAGCGACAATTAAAGCTGAACCAATAAGAGGACCTAACGAGGGACCAGCAACTGCACCCATCGACCACGTAGCAAGCCCCACCGGCATCCACGCCAACGGTAACACATCAGCCACCGATGCACCACCGGTGGCAAGTGCCGGCAGGGCAAAAATCCCTGCGAGGAACCGCAAAATACACAACCCGGCGATATTCTTCACTAAAGCCGTAGGAATCTGTAAAATGAAGAAAAGGAATAATGTTGTGATGTAAATCAGGGTTCGGCCAAAGCGAGCGTTTTCCAGCATCGGCAGAAACCACATGGGGCCGACACCGTAGCCAATGACGAAAAGGGTAAGGGGTAACGTCGCCACTACTGACCCGACATGGAACTGGGCCATGATTTGATCATAACCGGGGGTGTATATCGCCAGAGCCATGTACACCGACATGGTAAGGAATGCAATTTGCACGACGAAAAACGCCTTTTGCATCACCGGCCAGTTACGAGGATTTTCGGGGTCATCATCCCCATCCCACGTTACTAAAATCACCAGCGATTGAGGGGTTGAGGCAATCTTCTCACACGCTATCAGCAGGTCCAGCAGGTCGCAGACTTGGCCTGTAGCTTCATTGGTTACCGATGCTTTGGAAGGAGCGTACTCATGGGTGAGGTACTTGCGTTCGACTTCGTATTTTGGTTGCTCTTCTTTGTATGAGAAGTATTTATGCTGGGAGAGATGATACACCGAGCGGCCATAAAATGAGTCGCGGACAAATTGGTACCACATGCGTACTGCTGTGAAGTGCCAGGGTCGCTGGTTATGTATGAAACATCGCTGCCGCCACAGATAAAATACTGTTGCTCGATGTGGCAACGCGCTGATCGTTCTTGCGTTAAACAAGCCGTAACGCTATGTCAGCCGCACTAATGAGGAAGTCACCGACGCAGCCCACCGATACAATTGGAAGTCACCGAGATTGGCTGCATGAATTAATAAACGCCTACAGATACTCTGAGTAAGCTGACAAATCCGTTCCGGGCATATTTCACCGGGTTTCTCAACACAACTTCCTTGCTTATCCTGAAAATGGCTCATGCACATTTCAAGTTTGTAGCCCATTTTCTTTGATGGATAGTCGGGATTGTGTCGCATAGTGCTGGCAAATTAATCCGCAAGATGAGGGATGAGGCCATCAAGGTAAGGCACTGTGCGGCTATCGCTATTGCCCACCTCATCTGCCGCGTCTTTTATTTCTCTTGCTCGCCTAAAATTGGTACGCACACGCCAGTGCTTCCTATCAAGCTTACAAATAATATATCCAAAGATAACCCTATCTCGTCAATCAGGGCCTCAATACCCTCTCTCAGCGATAAATAACGATACCTACTTGCTGATCATCGACCTCAACTTACTTGAAAACCTCAACACCAACCAGAGTCTCAATTACATCAAGCTTGAGAACAACTTGCTCCAGCTTCAGGAGCGAGGGCAGGCGTTGGAGGCGTTGAATGGTCAGCTAAATCACTATGAGGGGATGTTGAGTCAAATTGAAACCTCGGTAGCCCTGATGGAGACGATTGTTGCCGAGTTTAGTCATCCTAGCTATGCACAACCGCTATTAATATCCGTCAAAAAGTCTCAATGATCGATGATACGGCTTTCCGTCTTAGCCATACACAAGTCCAGTTTGCTCATATGATTTTGAATACTTTGGACATGTTGCATATCAATTGCAATCAATATGTGGTTCCTTAATGAGAAAGTACTCAAGAGTTCCGTGATTAGTATTTTTCTGGTGATTTTACGTATTTTATTCAACTGTTTGCATTAAAATAAGCTGTATAACTGCTTGATATGATCATTTGGTTACAAGAATTGGAGCAAAAAAGAGCATGGAAGCTTTTTGTTTGATTCTAACTTGGAAATTCAGATGATTCTTCATATCTGATAGTGGAACTGGTAGCCACATTTGACGCTATTTTCATGCCATAGCCAGAATTGTCTTTGACTCACAAAAGCGTGTAAAGAATTTTCGGTTGTCCTTCATTTAAAGGGCAACCGACGACCGTGCTCTACGAAGATTTCGAACCTCGACCTCCCCGAGTAGTTTTCTCAAGTGTTCCTTCTGGGTTTTACAACACCCTGGTTGCTGAGGGGTGAGATAGCAATTGTCTTCTAGATCGTTAGTATCTTTTTGATGAAAGACGGTGCATACTTCTACAATTCGGCTGCTCGCAAGGTTGCCTGGTTAGCTCAATCGGTAGAGCGTGAGACTCTTAATCTCAAGGCTGCGGGTTCGAGCCCCGCATTGGGCTTCTTTTTTTGCTCTTGTGGCTACCTTCCTTCCTCTTCATCGAGTTACTCTGTTAACTTAGTGGGAGACTTGTTTTTTTCTGCCGTAGCCCGCTTTCGAGAGAGGTCGGTCACACATTCTGTTGGTAGCGTTGGAGGTAGTGTGGTTCCGGGGTACGCTGATTACGCCTGTGCTAACCTAGATTGGTGTGTTGAAGTTTGCCTGTAGCTCCATTGGGAGCCAGCACGAATTCGTCTGAGTGCGGAGTGAGCTAAAGCCGAAGGTGATTCTGGTAAGGGATTGCCAATTACTAGAAGGGGCAAAGAACCAGTCTGCGTACACCAAAGTGGTTAAGAGGACAAGGAACCAGTTGGGTGCTCATTTGCGCTTACTTCACAAGCTCGTCGTCAACGCGATGCACGAGCTCTAATGTACCATGTCTTATCGTATTTGGTGTGATTGAGCTGTAGTACAAGATGCTTGGCTAAGGGATCTGCAGATCCTGAGATGCATCAACGTTTGAGTATTTGCCTACTACGCCTGACCTAAACCAAGTGGTGCAAAGTTTGATTTCATATATCCTATAGCCCATGTCATTCAACCCGCTTGCTCTTGGTATTGGTACTTTCTCAGCATACACACTTTGCTTATTTCTCCCATTATACTGGAGATTCAACAGCATCAACAACCAACCCGTCATTGTCTACAAAGCGACGCATACATTTTTATGGTATTAGAGTTTTGAAACGAGATTTGACGTATATTAACGACCATGTTGAATTGTCGTTGTTGTTGACATGATGGATCCTTTCAAAGAACACCAGCACGCAGTCGTGGTCTCTCGGAGATTCCCTGTCTTAACGGATATCTACAATTGTGGACAGAAATGAAGACTGTTCATGACTCTTATGATCTTCAATGTTTGCATTTAAAGTATATAAATATAAAACATAAGCTTCCCCTACAACGGTGAAAAAGATACAAAAAAAAGGAGCACGACCGAAGTCATCAGTGATCCCCAATAAGCTAAGACGATATGGCCGGCTTCACGTACTGAACATGTGCGTTCGTTTCAGCTAACCGGCTGCCCGTCTACGAAGACTACTCCACACTCGATGATCAAGTGCAGGTTTCATCTTCCAGACCCCTAGGAGGCTGGCTGCCAGCAGGTCCATGGCTCATCGACGCCGCCTTGAAAGACAACGCTGGCCACTTCCCTGCCGCATCACCAACTCGATGAAGACTATTAAGGAAACGACAACGATACCTCGAGTCTAACAGACACAAAGTTATTGGGGGCTACCCGTGGGGACACA